AAGGATTAACGAACAAAGAGCTCAATGTCTTAAGATACCCCCGCGTGATGGGACGTATTTTATATAACACTAGCAGTTTTCCCGCGAATTCGCACGCGTTAATTATAAGCTATGTCAACCCCATATCATGTAGCTAATATTTAAAATCGGTTCAGATGTTACGGAACTTATTCGCCGCAAACAAACATATAAACGATCAAATCTTTCCTCTTTATAATATTACTATAGATTAATATTATTATACACTAGCTTTCGCCAGCGGCTTCGCCCGCGTGGTCCCTAGGGAAATGTTTAGTGGGAATACCCTAATACCCTATCTGTATACCAAATTCATCAAAATCCGTTCATTAGTTTCGGCGTGATTGACCGACAAACATCAAAACATCCAAACAAAGAAATTTCGCATTTATAATATTAATAGGATATTTTTTTCTGTACACGGTTTATATACCTGAATATGTTACATATAAAGAATAAATACTACTCTTTATGTAATTCTGCAGCCGTTATAATTTTTTAATACTTCCACAATACGGTTAGCTAACCCTATGACGATATCCGTAACCGCAACCGAAAATAGTGTAGTAAAATAATACTTATCTTAAAAGCGGTAATTTTTTTTAAGAAACATTAAAGTCGGACTGAGATTTTCTATACTTAATTAAATATTAACCGCCTAATGATTGATTTATGAATTAAAATGATAAGATGCAGATGTTTATTATCTCATACATTATATAAAGAAAAGAAAACAATGAAAAGGGTTCTTCATGAACCTTTATTTACAGAATCAAGATGACTGAGTAGAACAAGCGTTTCGAAATAGGCAGATTTATATAATTTGCGGTGTTTAAAAAAGTTTGAAGAATTACTATAATGGTGACATACAACCGGTTCTAAGTATACCTATAGTCCGACCAATATATATGTATAAACAATTTTTTCATAATATTCGTACTGGGTTGGGATACGGTTGACCAAATGGCTAAAGGTCAAAGCCCTTAAACTGAAATATCACAACTGTATATATAACCCTATTTATTGCAAATAAAGACATTATTATTATTATTAAGCGCGTTACAACACCAAAAAATTATGCAGAAAAATCCTGTATGTATAAGTTAAGACCTACTTCCATTTTTAGAAATTAAAATACCAGCTAACTCCTTTATTTATAGATTTTTTTTAACTCTCATATAGATTTTTGAAAACTGATCCGTGTAATTTTTTTAATCGTTTGAGATATACCCTTTTAAATAAAATAAAAACATTCAGTTGAATTGATAAGAGCATTTTTTGTGACCAATAATAATGACAAAAAAAAATAACTTGTGTCAGTGTCCTTAATATGAGGATCGCGAGCTCTATTTAGAACTTTTTTATTATACATTCCACAATTAGGTATAAATAAACCATAATATGAAAAATTACAAATTAACTTCTTAGTTTCATATGGTTTCATTCATATCTTTCGTCCACCGGCCACGCCTATTGCAATCTGTTACGTAAACGTGAAATGAATGTGGACCATACTTTCATCGCTGTCTTCATCGGCCCATTAGCTCAGTTGGTTAGAGCGTCGTGCTAATAACGCGAAGGTCGCGGGTTCGATCCCCTCATGGGCCATAATTCTTTTTGTTTTTATAATTATTATTAAAATATTTGAGACTATTAAATACAAATACGAAGTCATAATTTCTTTGTATAATGATATTGTAACTATTACATCGTATCATGAAATTTCCATTAATTTTATACTTAACCATTGACAATAAAACAATATTTTTGTATTATACACATTTATTATCAATTTACAGTATTTATGACAGCCCTATAATAGTCACTTTAAGTGTACCTATTAGCATCAACTATTTTTCTTTAATACCTACTATCAACCAGAATTCTCAGTTCTAAAAACATGTATAGCTTATTAGCAAACTTAGCGACACGCCCGTACCTTAACCATACACTCACGGCTTCATAATCTGCAACCAGTAATAACCAGTTCCAAACCGACCTTTCAAATGATTTACAGCATTGCACGATGCATAGACGTGACTGACCAGTTGATATAATCCTAATGAAAATAACCTTTAAACCCTTCCATTTAGGACTGATTTACCTTGCCAACTGAATTTCAGACATTAAAGCACCTTATAAACATAAAACGTATTGAAATCACATAAAGTCGATAATCGTTCCGACGTCACACAATAGACGTGAATAAAAGAACATTTTTGTGAGACACTTCAGCTAGTAGACTATACTAATAATACAGAGGTCTTGTTTATTAGTTAACTTGTTTCTAAATAATATTCGTTTTCTGGTTAAATCCAGATATTATTTATACAAATTTAACATTGAATTCTATTAGCATTCATTGTGTATTAACCTTGACTTTCGTACTATCTTTAAAGCGTAGGGTACTAATAATGAATAGGAAAATGATTTTCAAAACAAACAACGCTCTAAAAATAAAAAGATAGGTATTTACAATACATTAATTTAATTATCATATTATGATTTTTTGGAAATTATTTTGGATTATTTTTTTAAATACAGCATTATTCTAAATCTTGCCTCAAATTAAATTAATTAGGACGACTAAATCGTTGCTGCAAATTATTTTATTTATTAGACCAACCTGCATAAAATAAATACTAGTAAATTAAAAAGTTATTAATTTCAGGCAGCGCAACACATTTTCTTCTTCAATACTTCTCGATAAGCCGTCATCTGAACATTCACTCCATTCTTATCCATATTATCTTTCATACAATATATTCCTTTACTCATAGATCATACATCGTTACATTCGCATCCACATTTATTCGTGTTCACAATAAAGTACATACACTGACTTATTACTTTTACCATCGACATAATTAGGTTCATACGTTTTTACAATATGAATTCTCATTCATAATCATAATATGGACACGAATTAAAAAACGAGACGAGTTTTATCTATTTGTAGCTTTTATTGTAGTATATATTTTACAATTAACATACATTAATTAACATTTATATCATACAACTAATTACATGATTGATTATATTACAAAAAAAAAATTCAGGCACTTTTGAAGCAGTTTTAAACATTCCTTTACAATCGTTAAAACAAGAGGAAAACAGTTCATATTTAGTTTTCTTCTGGGACCATTTTGATAATGATCTTAATACTATTTTTATATTTTAAATAAACAAACGACTAAGCAGTATATTGCGGCTACATTTTTAAAGAATTAGGGAGTACCGTTAAATGATACGTCATTCTCGTGTGTAGTGTTTAATAAGAATTGACGATTACGGTAGCGCCATCTATTGGCGTTACTAAAAACAAATCGAAACTTTCATCTTCTTCAACAGAATATACGCTGAGATTATAATTATGACAATACTTATATATGGCTAATGATTTATTATAACGAATATTACTGTTAACATAAAATATGATGTTACTAACACATCACTTCGGATTAAATTCTATTGAAGTAACCATAAAGTGTTATAATACTTATTCGCCCAGTTGGACAAACGCCCATTGAGGTAAGGTTTAATGACGACATTAAGCTCCAATGAATGTTCTAAATTTGAAATTTTATTTCGGTAGTGTCGTTAAAACTAATCAAAAAAGCCGGCCAAATGTACAAAAAAAGGCACAAAAAACAAGATTGTTGTATGGGGGCCCCCTTGCATATCTTTATTTGTTTTGGAAGTGTAAACAGAAATACATCAACTGTGTAAATTTCAACTGTCTAACTTTCACGGTTCATTAGATAAAGCCCGGTGACAGACAGACAACGAAGTCTTAGTAATAAGGGTTCCCGTTTTACCATTTGCGTACGGAGCCTTAAAAATGAACGTTTGCGCTACTGGGTGTAGCAAAAACTATAAGATGCCTTGAGAAGTATGTTTTATTTTCGGTATAATGAATTATTTCTTTTTAGGACCTCTGTCTTGAATAATCAGATACAATAATGTATATTAAATAAACACAACACAAAAGTTTACTACAAAATAATAAAGTCTCCACAATAGAGCATAATTGTCACTAAAATGAGGATTTAATTTTTTTTTTTTACAGATTTGGATCACGATGAAATTGAAACCTCATTTACCACAGTTTTTAATGTCTAAAATATTATTGTATATTTGTGATACGGAAAGCAGAATCAGTATACTATCATACTTACTTATAAAAATGCAATAACTATGATATAGTTATTGCATTTTTAAGCATTTTTAAAGAACAATAAAATTCTCACGGGCGGCTAAGATTTTTGGTGACAGCTGTAACAGTGTCGCAGAAGACGGGATTGGACCTTGCATGAAGCCAATTTTTCAAAATATCAGCTCATCAAAGAACTTCACATTAAAAAAAAACTTATATCATGATTACAAGCTGGCCCGTCATTGGGACAATGATTTAGAATCCATCAATGGCCGGACTCGAATACCTAATAAGGTATATGCCGTTAAAGCTATATTTGCTGTGTACTTATGGTAGTACATAACTTGGCAGTTAGTGAGGAGCAAACATGTGATTTTTATTGGTCCTATTTGATTGGTCTTCTATTCCGCAGCCGAGCTTATACATCGTAGTTACTTTTCAAATATGATAATAAGCAGAAAAAGAATAGCATAAGCTTCTTGCGAAAAATTGCCTAGCGTCGTCCATTTTTAGGCAATTGGCTGATATCAACACAAGTATGTCATTAAATAAAAAAACCATCACATTTCCGAGTTACCTTAGCAGAAATTTAGATTGAAAATTTAAGATCAGATGATATTTCAACTCAAATTGCTACAATCATATATGCTATTTAAACTATATCCGTGCTTCAACTTCGATAGCATTTACATAACACTAATAAGATAATTCTTTAAATAATTCATTTTTGTAGTGATTTAGACAACTATTTTGATGAGCCGCCATTTTGAAAGATAAGGAAAATGGCAGTCGTTTATACAGCCAACAACATTTTCAAATTTTTAAGTCAAATTGTTGATAGTTTCTTGTCGGCAGGGAAGGCCGTTAGTTGTCTATGAGCAGCCACCTGTGCGTAGAGTGTTCCACTTGTTGCTGCAGTAGCGGCGTGCGCACGCGCAACTTTACTTCTAAAGAACCGCCGGCGGGTCTGCGCCCATCCATCAACTGCAAAAAAACGGTTCCTGTCTAGTTATTTATATTGTATAAGCGATTAGCTTTTTTCCCGCGACTTTCCCGTAAATTATAGCTGTGTATGATATGGCTTCCTGTAGGTGAGGTGCTACAGTTAGTGTAAACACACAGGGAATGCTTTGTATATAATGACCTACAGTCAGTGCCAACTCACAGAGAATGCCTCGTATACAGTGATCTACAGTCAGTGTATACTCACAGGGAATGCCTCATATATAGACCTAGTCAGTATATACTCACAGGGAATGCCCTGTGTATAGTGACCTACAGTCAATGTAAACTCACAGAGAATGCCTCATGAATAGAGACGTAGTCAGTGTATAATCACAGGGAACGCCTCTTATATAGTGACCTACATTAGTGTAAACTCACAGGGAAAGCCTCGTGTATAGTGCCCCACAGTCAATGCCTCGTATATAGTGACCTACAGTCAGTGTAAACTCACATATATGCACTCATGTGTAGAGATCTAGTCAGTGTATACTATACAGGGAATGCCTCGTGTATTGTGATGTACAGTCGGTGTATACTCACAGGGAATGCCTCGTATATAGTGATGTACAGTCGGTGTATACTCACAGGGAATACCTCGTGTATAGTGATGTACAGTCGATGTATACTCACAGGGAATGCCTCGTGTATAGTGACCTGCGTCTCGAGGGGCGCGAGTTTGACGGTGCATGCGCCCAGCAGAGTATCGCTCCTGAACCAGCCGCTGCAACACAACAACGCGTCACACGCGCTGCCACACATACAACACACGCTACACTACACTACACACTACACACAACACTAATGCATGATTGGGTAATGTCGAAAATTGTTGCCATCTTTTTGTGAATTAAATGCCCGTATGTTTGCTACGTTTACGGAACTAAAGTATATCGTACATTGCGAAAAAAGTATAATAATTAGATCGTATAATTGTTATATATAACAATAATACAGTGATAAACCCCTAGACAGTGTTAAAAGTGATGTTAATAATACATTTATGAAAATATAACACGTCAATTTTGGCAAAACACGATGTTATTTTGTGTCACTCAAACATTTAACATACATATATATATTTTCTAATAAAAACAATATTATATACATCATTTAGCTATCTGAAATATGAATATGTGAATATGAATAAGATTAGGGCCTGTATTACATATCTACGAATAATACACATTTTTTTAAAAATTATTTTATACGTTTGGGTATCTATCCAAATAATCTACCCGGTAGGATGGAAAACAAAAAAAATAGGACTACTTTACATAATATTATTTTTAAATAATTTATTTAAAAATGTGTATTCGTGATTGAATATTGGGTGAAGACTGTAATAAAAAAAGAAATTCTATTTAGTCCGTCAGTAAGATAATAGAAAAATATTAGACACGTATTTTATTACTTCTTTTTAACAAGAAAAAGCAAGAAATGCCCGTTTCATTAAATTTGAGAAGGGAGGGGCTCGCCACGTCACAGTTTTGTAGAAAATGTACGAAAGCGTGACGTCATGCGACATTTTAACTCAATGCATCGCCGTAATTTAATATTAAGAAAAAATAAAAAAATACGTGTTTAATATTTTTCAACAATCTATCTGACGGGCAAACAAACAAAAATTAGTCGTCACCGCTATTCCAAATTTCGACACTTTAATTTGACTTATATGTTTCAACTAGTGGACGCCCGCGACTTCGTCCGCGTGGAAGTCGGTATCCCGTGGGAGTGAGAAGTTTTCCCAGTAAAAAGTACCCTATGTGTTATTCTGATGTATAACCTATATTGCTGTAAAGTTTTATCCAAATCCGTCCAGTAGTTTTTTCGTGAAAGAGTAACAAACATCCATACATCCATACTTACAAACTTTCGCCTTTATAATATTAATAGGATTTTGTAAGTTACCAAAGAATCATGTTCACTTTCTATACATTGATTGACCTGTCACACGTTTTTTCTAAGGTCGCGTCCACTCATCATTAGTGATAATTTAAATTACTTTTTGCTTTAAAATATAATAACATCTCAGCATCTTTTTATTTGGAGGCCAGGGAGATTCGTAATTTGTATATCATATTTTGAGGTTATAATAGCTGTCAAAACTCGAGATAGCTGTGAAGCTACTTTAAAAATGAATGCATTAAAATCAAAGCTTTTTATGGTTTACTCGTAAATATAGAAATAAATCTAAATATTAAAGTTAAAGTGCACTTTTTTACCTTATAGCGAAAGAATATTTTTTTCGTAGAAGATGAAACGAAACGTAGTAAATCGTAATTGCGTCCGAATCGCATTTGTAATTGTACAATTTAAAAAAAAAATATCAGCCTCGAAAATTTTATCCTGACTTTATTTTAAGGTTTATTTCCTGGTATGAAATAAGTAAAAAATAAGCTATTTTTAAAACAAAATTGGACATTCAAGCTTTAAGCTACACAATATAAAATCATATACATTTCAATAACACATTGGAGACAAAAATAATTCGGGTATCCGAATAAAAAAAAAGAAATCGCCATTTTATTGCCTACGGCCGAAAGTGTACACATGTCTCTTAGAAACGTTACTCACTCCTTACACAGCACTATGCTAAAGTGATCACAAAAAATTGGTAGTGAGTGTTTAATTAAACTTCGACTTTCATTTAGAAGTTATTCATAATTTAAATCTCGAAAACTGGCCTTTACTACTATGTTTTAGGATTGCAAAGTGCATATTATAAATTTAAGTTTTATAATTACCGTTTGCAGGTAAATAAGTACTAAAAAATCTCTGTTATTTTTATAAATAGATTTTAAAAGCCGTTAAAAGTAATGCGATATACAAGTGCTTCTGAAGTCAGTTACAATAAATACTATATTATGTAATTAGTCTTATGTTACTTAATATTGAAGCGTACGGCAAATATGCATCCTTACCCAATTAGATCATAGTTGTCAGGGAGGGATGGGAACCAGTGAAATTTTAAAGACTTTCATCAACACCACCGTCCCATAACTGTGCTATACTAGACAATACGATCGGCTATGGAGCTACACGCGCATATGACTTTCATAATACCCGTTCATAAATTTACCTTTTGTTTTTCTGAATAGTGCAATCCCCGTATAGACTCCACCCACTAAACTGTCCTATCACCAACAAACGCCGGAGATTGCCGAACACGAACGAACACGGAACGCTCCTTTCATGGCACGCTCTAGTGTTGGTCGGTGACTGAACTATCGGGTGAGGGATGTCACTATAAGACGGTCATCGAAAAGAGAGATTTTCGTACAATGACCCGTCATTACGAATTTCTTTCACTTGTACGCAAACATATATTGCTATTGCGCTCGCACAGATACATCTAGATAATTTTATTATAATAAAGTGATATTCTTTCTGTTCGGAGACCGTGCTATACTCCTATATAAGAATATGTTTTTGCATAGCACCAGGGCTCCTCTCATGGTGTCATGCTAAGCAATAGGGTTGACAATTCTCAAAAAAAATTATATGTACGTATAAATTTATTTTTTCCGCAAATTATACATAAATTAATAAGACTTTTATTATAATTTAATTTTGAATTCGGCGCCAAAAGATACACGCTTTAATGTCAGTTATTCAATGACGTCAATCCTTTGTATTTAATAGTAGCAATATAGCGATCGTGCGGTTGAATGCGAATATTAATAAATAATAAACAAGTTTTTTTTTAAGAGTTCACAATTCAATTTTTTTTATAATTGTAGACTCACAAGTTTTAGCAATGATACTGACATCATCACACGCTTTAGTTTTTTTTTGAGAAGCCACGTGACTCGCACCTCAAAAAAGTTTGTTTTTCTTCGCAAAAAATCAAGGCTTATAAATAATTAATATATTTTATATTACGTTTCGTATTTTATATGCATCACTGTCAATAACCCTATTACCCAGATCGGCAAACAACCTAACAGCCCTGTGATTCTGTAAAGATCCAAACCAATTCTCAGATATCCGAATACATTTCTAAAAGCGGCAGCCGCTCAATCTTGAATTGGTAATAACGTCATACATAAGTGAAGTGAGTTTCAAAATGACATAGGAATAGAATATCTGAGCTACGTATATTCAATCAACTTTGGTTTTGTTTTAATACAAAAAAAAAATGGAATCAACTTCTTCACTAAATGACGTGAACTCGCCATGGTTCAGATTATTACAGAATCGCTCTGCAGATGTTGAAATTAATAATCAAAAAAGCAGTTTTGAAATTAATTTTAATTTCCATTTCAAATATTTGTATACACAGTAAGTCGCCGAATGAATGTCAATAGGAACCGCATACGGGGAACGGTAGATCTTTGTAAAGTATACAAATATTATAGCATGCGTGGAAAAAGCCGCGATTTTAATTACTTTAATTAGTCATTATCCTGCTTTGCCAACTGACAATAGGGAATATACGTCTGATTCAAAAAAGTCTTAAATATATTTTATTGAAATCGTTATTGCTTTAGAATAAAGTCTATCTAAATATTTTTCAACATTAGTTCGTTTTCGTCTTGAAAATAATTATTAAAAAATGCAAAATGAATGCGGTAACTTCAAAATATTTAAACGCCATGCCACTTGTCAAAGCGGATGTGACGAAAATGTACACGTATAGGGATGTCGTTGTTATAAAAAGTTAACATCGATGCAATAACATCAATATATTATGTCGCAAAATAAACAACTGATTACAATTTAAATGATGTTTTAGGCTTTTATTTTTATTTTACCAATTTGGTTAATTATATGATTTATTAAAAAAGTCTATTATACTTTTAAAAATCGATTAGTTGTTAATCGATTTGGGTAATCGAATAATAATCAATCTGATTTAAAATGTCATATCTCTAGTCGTGTACTTTGACGTCACGACGAGCGCGCCAAAATTTCCGGTGTTTAAAACTGCTAATAGCTATTACTTATTTTCATCAATGATTAATGTTACAAAATTGTAGTTTTTCGATGCCGGGTATTTTTTTACAGTGATATATCGATGTAAATTATCATATAAAAACATTTTCCAAAAATGTGCATATTCCCTATTACTAGATAAAATTTTTAATATCATATTTCTTACCCTCTCGAGTAGACTTCTAGCTTGATGCCATGCCGTTTGAAAACTCGTAAGCAAGGTCTCGAGCCCCGCTGTATGACGAGTGGAAACACGGCGTTATACTCTGGACTATTGGTGTCTTTTATTAATGATGTGCGATCCGATACCGGTGCCTCCTGGAAAACGAAATATAAATGCAATGAGGAGTACCGTCTTTTCACTCACCAGGTGGCGCGATAGTCGCGTGAGGTCTTGTCAAAGTTTGTTTACTACTACAAGACAAAACTTAAATTATAGATAATAATACATAAATAAACCATTTTATTAAAAAAGCTTTCCCCAGAGAACTGTTTATTTGGAAATCGTGTCATATCATGATACGGATATAATTAAAATGACATATAGAATAGCAAACAGTGGTTACTATGGTAATGTTTTAATTCCCTATACAATCTTACACTCCTATTTTCATCCCTTTATTTGCTGTATATTTGCTTATTGGAACTTTGTTTATTGGAAAAGAAACGGGCGTATTTCACAGACAAAGTATGATATTTGACATTTTGAAGTTTAGTTAAGTTTTTGCCCAAACTCAAAGTTTATGTTCGACGAATTGGATATATTCGATTGTATTTTGATTTTGTGGTTTTTGTTGAACCGCCTTTTTGACTTTTTAACAAAATGGATGCTAGAGAATGCCTCGTGCCATTGAATCCGCCATTTCTACCATTTGTTGTCTGTTTGTTGTCGGACAACATTTATGGACTTTAACAGTCGAATTAATATTTAAATAAGAAATAATTCGATTATTATTATTCGCTTATCAAATCATGCGGATGATTCGGAGTGAACACATTTTCCGTCTTTGTCGCTAGTGTGTTACAATTGATGAGATTTTGGCGTCAAAACTGCATATATAATTATTATATTTCATCAATTTTACATACGCAATGCTATACTGGAAAATATTCTGAATAAAGTATGCTTAAAAAATCCACTTTGTCTCTGGCACTCTGAGCTACCCAGGACCTAACAGAACTGGCTAATATATTATTTTAATTATACATTTCAGTAATATTGTCAATGAGACTTTGTAACATGGCTAATATATTATTTCAATTAAACGTCTCACAAGGGGGCATTCCCTACTCATCATCACCGATTTCGCTCAATTTTATAGGTCATGTCGGACTTGGTTAGAAATAAAATTACCCAAAGTGGGAACTTCAGATGGCCAAGCATTTAGAAAAAAAAAATTCGCGCCTTTTTTCACCATATAAACTATAAATGTTGACAAGTTTACCAACCAGCAGCTGGCGTAGCGGTAAGAGCTCTGACTACTAATCTCATGGTCGTGACTTTCGTCGCAGAAAAAAAATTTTTTTTTTTCTAATCGCTTTGCCATTTGGAGTTTCCACTTTGGGTAATTTCGACTCTAACCAAGTCCGACATGGCCTATAAATTTGAGCGAAATCGGTGATGACGAGTAGGGAATGCCCCCTTGTCAGTGATTTTCTCAATGAGACTTTGTAACATCTTTTCACTGAGAACCGGAGAGTGCCTTAGCCTTCTTATTGGTGTTTTTATCAGTGGTTGAGTCAATTGTTGGTGTCGTCTAATAGGTAAAGCGTACTTAAAAAAAAATACACTTATATGTTAACAATGCTGTGTCAACCTATAATTGGTATATATATTAGATTAAAACCTAACTGTAATTTACTGAAGTAAGTTGAAATATGTATGCTGTTGGTTGTCCATATGAAATAAATAAATAAAATAAATAAATAAAAACATCAAATCCAACCTACCTGTGGAAAGGGAAATTCGAATTTGACATAAGTGTCCACGTCCTTAGGGTTGGGCACGTTATAAGCGATACCGCGCACGATAGTCAACTCCAAATCGTTCTCATTAAGGTCGGTGTTGCATTGAACCACAGAGAACTGACGAGATTCATAATGGAATTTGGGTGGATTCTGACCCAACCTGAAACAAAATTATCAACACAATATAAAAAAACGAAACCAGACTTTACCTGTTATGGTTAAACTACATCTGGCATGGTATCGACTTTTCCTGTCGTCCCGGTCTTTACTGTCGCCCATAACCGCCATTTGCTAGAGCGAGAAAGCTAGCAGGTGTACGCCACGCCGCGGAACCCTCGAGGCGACAGGTAAACCGCTACCTTTCTCGCTCTTGCAAATGGTGGTTTTAAACGATAAAAAGGGAAAGAGAGACGTAATAAAGTGATACCGTGCGCCAGATTTAGTTCAACCTTTTATGCTAAACCTTGTAGAATGTCTTATTTCAATTAGATGAGTTGTCTGTACCTGGAATGAGTTTTTTCATATAGCTCAGGGACTTTAAAGGTGTAGCTGTAATGTCCCGTGTTCGATTACCGGTTGGGTAATTGTTAAAATCTGACTTTTCTATATTGTCTCGGGTCTAGGTGTTGGATAACCATCGTTATCTCAGATACTCTATAATATTGGGGCTTTAGCTACCCATCTCGATATCTGAGCCCAAATTGAATTATTTCTTTTTTTTGTTCCTTCTTGTCAGGACAATGTTCGTATATAAGAAAATTTATAAAAATGTATAATTTATAAAAAACTGGTATATGGCGGTACGAAGTGCGCCGAGTCAGCTAGTTTTTTTTTATAAATATTAACATTATTAATGGAAAAGTCATTTAGAACAACAGGCCTAGATATTCCAATTATCTGTAATCTTATGAAAATCATTTATTTAACCTCTTACGAGCACTTGTGAGGGTCGAAATTGTGCCATCGGTTCGTAAATCTACCGAGAAGAACCGGCAAGAAACTCGACGAGGGCTACTTTTTTATATAAAATAAAATAAATATGGCAAAACTTTAAACCGCGTAAACTCTTGGCCATCTGTTTTTCGTAAAAATATAGTCTTTGTAAGTCGCTAATAATGTATCATCATATTGATTACTAGCTGTTTTCCCACGACTTCGACTATATGTACAAACGAATGAATCCTAATTATATCTATTTAAGATTGTGTGTGTGTATATTTAAGAAAAAATGTTTTTTTTTAAACCAATACTTTGTTTTTTCTTTGTTGCGTCCGCAGTGCTTTCTATTAGACACCTTTACTGTTTGACTAGTAGAGAATGCTGTATTACATTAAGTCCGCCATTTGCCATATTGCGATAAATGTTAAACAAATGTATACCTCTTAGCAACAGCAACCACATCCAAATCCTGTTGCACAGTAATGGCCAAGTGTTCGAATCTGTTCGCTTCGGCGATATGGCCCATGGCCTTGTTGTGGTCCCTGTTGGCTAAGCAGAGCTTCAGCTGCGACGTGAGCTGCTGATGTAACCGAGACAGTACGTCGTCGTCGTCAGCGGTTATAGTGGTGGGGCCGTCTGATGAAGGGCCGCAGTCTTCCGCGGATACTATGTCGAACCTGTGCCGTACATACCACCTCTGAAGAAACTAAATTGTACGTTGAGAACGATAGTGACACAATGCAAAAAAATGCGATTTTGAGTAATGAGCGTTTAAAGTTCAAGAAATTGTAATCAGCCCCTCTAAACAACGTATCGTCACTACGCCATCTAGCAGTTTCTATGCAAGCTACGTTCACAGGGATCTTTGCGTTTTAAAGTTTATACTTAACAAAGAAATATGTTGCCAAAAGTAAAAAATATGTCGTTTTTGGTTAGTGGCATTGTCATTCTCAACGTGCGAAATATATATCGACACTGGAAATCAAACGCGTAGTAATCCGCTTAACCAAATTGTTCTTCGGAGCAGAAACACTTTAATTTTTATCGAAACAACTCTTATAAATGCCCATGGTAATAAATAAGGTGTTACTAAGTCGATTTATATGGAAATAAGATTTATTTTATTTATTTTTTTAAATATAAAGACTTTCTACTCTGATTAGCCATTTTGGTTTTGCAGGTTACTACGTTTCTGCTTTCAGGCGTCGATGTGTATATTAGTAATATCATCATCAGCCCTTTTACGTCCTTAATGCAGGGGCTCAGGCCTTCACACTGGCTCAATGCGGACTGTAGGGTCTTAACGACTGCAAATGTAGCCGGGATCAACTTAAGTTACCTTCCAAAACACGAACTAGCTAGAGATAATAATGTCTTAGTCACCCATCCCGTGATCGACCCTTGCAAAAGTTGTTTACTAACAAAATTGTAACAATATAATAATGAAAATGGACTATTTTTTTTTATCATATTTAATAGGGTTATTGTCAATTTTTCAAAAATATTTATCAGTGGGTCAGTTATGGGTTAGGTGACCAAAATAATATTATCTAGACGACATAGTGAAATGCTGTGTTTTAGTATCGGAAACGTTATGAAAACTTAAGATATTGAGAATAATCAGTTAAGATTATGTACTTTTCTCAATTCAGAAACCGTCCGAGAGAGTCTCTTTAAATTAATTAAATTTTAAAAGTACTAAAAAAATCAATATTGGGACAAAAAATATATAAAAAAAAATTGTAGTCCACCTAGGACCCAGCCCAAAGGGTCATGACCACCGTGACTACCCCCCTGGATCCGCCCTTGGAACCCTAGCTTGTAACATATTAAATATCTCACGTGTTCTCCAACTGTGTTTTGGCACGCGGCGGCAGTGGCAGCGACTGCAAGTCCACCACAAGTCCGCCGCGCGCCGCCTCTATAACTGTGTCGAAACCTTTGGCCGCCCGCAAATATTCCTTGGCCTGTTCTATGTCACCTGAATGAACAATACCAGATATATTCACATGCATCTCCCAAGGATCCAAAAATACAATGTATTGATTTATTATATCTTAGGAAGACCTATAAGCCAATAAAGAAGGAAGAAAAATGGCTTATCTATACTAATATTATAAAGCTAAGGAGTTTGTTCGTTTGTTTGAACGCGCTAATCTCAGGAACTACTGGTTCGAATTGAAAAATTATTTTTGTGTTGAATATACCATTTATCGAGGAAGGCTTTAGGCTATATAATATCACGCTGCAACTATTAGGAGCGAAGAAATAATGGAAAATGTGGAAAAAACCGGGACAATTATTCATCCTTGAGGGCTTCCGTTGCGTGCGCTGCGAAAACGGTTCAAGATACAAAAATATATGTATAAAAAACTATGCTATGATAACAGCAATCATTGTTTACTATTTAATTTGTAATCATATCTGTGTCATGCTATGAATTGATACCCAAATAAACAGTTCTCTAGGTATCGCGGGCGAAGCCGCTGGCGAAAAGCTAGTTAGAAATATAATGCTGTAATAGACAGATAAGATTTTTTTCTTATTTATTCAACAAAAATAGAATATTTTTTTTAAAGCTAAATAGTCTAATTGTTAATCAAAGACACATTCCACTTTTTATACAATACATTGATTGACTTTTCACATGTTTTTTTTTATTTAATAGTCGAGTCTACCCTATATTAGTAAGATAATTTAAATTAGTTTTGCTTAAAATATAATAATATCTTAGCGTCTTTTTATTTGGAGGCCAGGGAGATTCGTCATACAAATCAAAATGTAAAAAAAATAAATTTCATAAAGGCCTTATTCAAGCCTTGCTCTTATAAGGCCCATCCTGACTACAGCTCAAATACTTGTAGGGTATAATAACCTATGGGTACAATAACCTATGGGTTAGTAATAAGGCCTATGGGTTAGTAATAAGGCCTAATGTAAACCGTGACAGTTTATGAGATTATTCATTTTTTATTTGTTTCGTGTCATAAACATGAAATTAAACCATGTGACAACATTTTACACTAGGGAACGAAACAAAGCCTACAAAATAGCTAGGCCTTATTGTGTAACGGGTACTCAATGCCCTTATCTAATAAAATTATAGTTTAAATGTTCCCTAAAAGTAACGAAAACCACATGACATGAAAATTAAACGTTTGTTTACGGTATGCTTTATTGACTTTGTAAAAAACCATGAAAGATAAAATTATTTTCTTACCTCGTAATTACGCGAGTCAGATTAATTTGGCGCGAAACAGCCGCCTCCCACATTACATGTTTTGAGGTTATAATAGCTGTCCAAAGTAGAGATAATTGTGAAGCTAATAATTAATGCATTAAAATCAAAGCTTTTATAGTTTGAGTCGTAAATATGGAAATAAATCAAAAATGTAATTGTGAATGTAAATTTTTTACACTTTATGACGAAAGAATATATGAAGCAAAACGTAGCAAATCGGCCGAATCGCATTGCAGTAGTGTATCAAACCGTTATTTTATGATCCAAATCACATTCGGGTAGTTATTATTTAAAAATAATTATCAGGCTCGCAATTTTTATCCTGACTTTATTTTAAGATTAATTACCTGATATGAAATAAATAAAAATGAAGCTACATTTTGAAATACATCACATGACTAGACACGTTATTAAATTTTTAGGTCAAAATTGGACACAATCCTTTAAAATTTTAAACATTTTTATCGATTGTGTAGAGTTCGATATCTGAACAATTACAATATAATTACTGTAAATTTAGCTTTGCAAAAATATTGATAATAATTTCACTTACCGGCTTTTTTGGCTTTGATGGCAGCCTCTTTAAACTGTTTCTGTCTGTGCAACAGCAAAGCTAGCTGCTTCTCGTGTCTGGAACTAGAGGCGGAGGGGGGCGTGGAGGGAGCGGGGGGCGCGGGGCGAGGCGCGGGGGCGGGGGCGGGGGCGGGCGCGGTACCACCACCCTGACATCGATACATTCAATTATACAGGGTTATTTATTCAAACACCAGCAAACTCATAGAACTAGATAGCTATCGAAAACATTTTACTTTAAAGAAAAATGCTTAACCCATTGATTCAAAAACCATCTATTCCCTCTATGCCCAGAACTATTTTGACTTCCGATACTTATGAATTTTAGGATGTTTGTGCTAATAGGTCTTTTGTGGCGGCAGAAAGCGAGCCATTTGATAAATAGATGGGGGTTAAATGCATTTTCAAAGAAAAATAGAAATAATGCATTTTCATAGAACAATATAAATTTTTGAACTTCCACGAAAATCACATTTCTATTTCATTTTCGAATTAAGGGACGTACAAGGAACCAAATAAAGGAGGCTTCTTGGGCGTATATGAGTTAAAAATCACCGATCCCAGGTGCCTCGAGATGGGATCAAGAAAAATTTACAGTATAAATATAACGCTCTGAAGTAGTAAAATGTATTATTGAGGATATTTCTTTGAGATAAATTTAAATATTACATTAGAATGCCAAATTTATGAGATATAATAATATAACACTTTCATACACAAATATATCTATATTTTTACCGGTCGAACGTTAATAATTGCATAAATTCTAGTGTCACAGGGCTCTGCGAAGCACACTTTGAGAAACAGTGATTTAGACTATCGATAGAATCACCAAATTTTATAATTTTTTAATTTAAAAAATCGTAAATATCAACACTCACCCCTCCCGTGGGTAATGGTCCGTGTCCCGCAGGTGTGGGTAGTTCGTCCACCGGGATAGGTTTCCCGGCGGCGTGCAATCTGATCGCATCTTTATACTGTTTCACTATACGCCCCATGCGACGAGCTTTAGATGAGTTACCCTCCTCCTTCGCTTTTGCTTCTTGTTGCTAAATTTTGAACATAACAGCGTGAGTGGATATATTTTAGGTAAACAGGTCACGTGCCTCAAAAAGTGCACGAAGTTATTTCTTATGGTTCGTATTTATCAAAAACAAAACGTGTAATTTCGTCGTCTGTCAACAACAGATGCCAATTAGTGGAGAATAAGTGATAATTTATAGTGTTATTAATGACGCTGAGACTGAACTTAGTATTAGCCATATATATTATTAAACAGAGACTTAGCAAAGATTAATCTAGTAAGATGTTCTACGGAAATAATATTTACTCCTTGGAGTAGATTTGTTTATTCTATGTATAATATGAATTTAAACTAATAATTAAATTGCAATTTTAGGGTAAATTTTTTCTGACGTTGTTCATTAATAATACTGTTAGTGAATAGAGTGGGGATATCAAACGTAAAAAGTCTTTAAAGGGGGTAGATTGATATAACTGCCAATAACATCCACCCATAGACTTCAGTTACTCCATGATCATGGTACTTTCAACATGTAAAAACAACCATATGAAAAAACTAAAGAAAAATAATATAAAAACCTTATGTAATCAATGCAACATAACACAAAATAATAATTACTTTAACAATTCTATTCTGTTATAAAAACAGCTTCGAGTTTCAGATCGAGGATGAATGCAGCGCTGTCAAAGCGTAAAGATACAATCAAATAAAAACCTATATAAATTGTACCAAAAGTTATATTTCGTTGAAACTCTCGGACAGGTGACAGCGTTCGTCGTTGAGTTGGAGGCTGTTTTTTTAACCGAAAAGTATAGCAATTCATCTCACCTCAAACGCCGCTAATCTTTGCTTCAAAGCTTCTTCAACTGTTGACGCTGTAACAACAGCTTCACTGGCAGCAGCAGCGGCCGGAGGTTCTGGATCTAGACAACAAATACCTTTGTTTGTTTACGATTAAAACGTTATGTTTGTCTCTGACCATTGAGTTTGTGAGTCGCTCGGGCTAATTACCCCGCTATTGTTTGATATACAACAATGTCCAACGTCAGACCTTGACCTGTTCCTTGACCAACGAAAGTTCAAATCTCCAGACAACAAATTAAAACCAAACACAAACAAATAAACATTGACGTGAAACACGTATTATTATTTTAAAGTATTATATTAAAATATGGTATATTTTGTCAAAATTATAGACTTCATATAATGATAAACCAGTTGTTTGGAAAATTCTTATAAGAACTGAATGTGTTTCTGATTTTAAACTCAACGGGATATTGTAACAGAACATTTTTTTTTTTGGGTCATTGAATAAAGAGATAATAAAGACAACCTATAAATGTAATCATATATGGAGAACATGCTTGCCCAATGCTAATTGGTGGGTTAAATATCTGTAAGTACAACCGGGACTAACAGCTTAAAGTGCCTTTGGAAGGACGGGAATCACGATAGTAAATTTTTGATCACCCATCCTGTGACCGGTCCTTGCAAACTAACTCAATACTGATGATGGTTGGGTAAAAAAAACGTAATTCTATTTAGTCCGTCAGTCAGATAATAGAAAAATATTAGATACGTATTTTTTTTTTACTTCAATTTAACAAGATCTAGCTTAGATAACAGGCATTAATGTTGAGGAGTGGGGGCTCTCTACGTCACAGTTGAGTAGAAAACGTACTCTAACGTGACGTCATGCGAAATTTCAACTCAATGTAACGCCCTTATTTTATGATTACGAAAAAAAATAAAAAATACGTGTTTAATATTTTTTAACACTCGACCTGACGGACAAACAAACAAAAATTAGTCATCATCCCTATTTTTACATTACCAACCTATTTATGTCCCCACTGCTGGGACACAGGCCTTCCCTATGGATGGAATGGAATCGTATAGGGAGAATGAGCCATTACCCACCATGTGGGCCCAGTGCGGATTGGCCGATATTAAGCCGGAACTAACGGCTTAACGTGCCTTCCGAATCAAGGAAGAATTCGCTATAATACATTTTTGTTTACCCATGCTATGAAAGTTGTTTAACAACCGTATGGCAGACCGCGTTAGCGACTGCGCTATCGAGCTCCTCTACAATGACATGATATAAGATATATTGAGATGATATTCCAAATATAAGTATATCACTTACCCTCTGAGGTCTGTACATGCGCTTCTTCCTTAGCTTGGCTTTTGAATGCTGCTTCTATCGCTTGCGGGGTGGGCAGTTCTGCAAGGTCCATTTCTTGGCCCGCTTTATAAGCATCCACAACTAAATCAAACTGTTTCACAACCTTCATGAATTCTATCGCCATCGCTTTATCCCCTGACCTCTTTGATGATAGAGCTGCCGCTTTAAATTCCTCCTTACGTTCTATGAAATAAGATCCTTAATTAAACTCACTTATTTTTATATATTAGATCAACAAGTTATTATTAGAGACTAGTTTGACAAAATTCTTTTGTTATGAATCACCATAACAGCAGTAATTTTTTTTCAATTTTGTGTTACTTATGATCTGTCTCATATCATGATTTCCAGTAACATCTAATCACTATATGTAAGGAATGGGTAGCAAGAGTAAGGAGTATAGTCTTTGATTCCATGTTTCATTATTTCGTTTTCAAGTTGAAACACAAGGAGCTTTATTTTTAAATGTTAAATAATTCATATGTACTTTTTATAAGTTTCAAATCAAATCAAAATTATTTATTCAGTCTAGGCTGTTACAAGCACTTGTGAAAGTCGAGAGCTACGCCATCGGTTCGTAAATCTACGGCGGGAGACCTTGTACTGAGAAGAACCGGCAAGAAACTCGGCAAGGGCTGCTTTTTTCTCCCTGTTTTATTTCATACAGAGCGTCAAGATTGAAAAATGACTTCATAAAAATTTAAAGTCACTTTCGATTGCAATATTACACAATATTAGAGTAAAACAGTATTTTCGTCAATCCTAACACATTTGTAGCCAAAGAAGCTCACCGATTAACAATTTAATATATATGAAAATTGAGCCATATTTAACTCCAAGCAATTTTGTCTTTTAAATATTCATTAACAGTATAATATCCTTTACTGAGTAGACAATTCTTAATATGGGTTTTAAACTGAGGTAATGGTAAATTTAAAATTTCCATAGGAATTTTGTTACAGTAGTGTACACCTGGGTCAAGGTGACGATAGAACCTTCTTTAGCCTGCATGATGGCAAAACAAGTTTATCTTTGTTTATTTGAATAAAGATAATTTTAACTTACTTGACAATATTTGAGATTTAAGTTATATTATGAATGAATATTTTTGAGGAAAAATTCACTAAATATTAGACAACAGCACATCCATTGCGCAGATTTGAAGATGAGTAACTAAATACCTTGTAATATGAAGTATCTGATAAAAAACGAAGGTCGCAGAGGACAACAGTAGACCCAGAAACAATACAAAACGTAAATTTTTTACATTAACCCAAACGCCAAGTTTGAATCCAAAATCTCAGATATGGCGACACCTTGAGACCACTCGGTTACGAAGATCGTACTCACGCAATATCATCTGCAGTCCCCTTTGTTTCTCAGGATCAAGATCTGTAGTTTCAGACTCTATAGGAGGAGGCGGCGGTGGTGGTTCACGAGGCTCTGGGAGACTGGGAGGTTCATCATCAGATTCTGGAGCGGTGGGAACTGGGTCAAGCACAGGTGTAGATTCTACTGCAGCTACTGGTTCAGGAGCCGACTGAGGTGCTGCAGATTTTCCCATGCTCACTGGTGGAGGAATGTCCTCATCATTGATAGGTTTGCCAGCTTTAGCTTGTTTTAATAAATCATTCAAAGTCTTGAGGCCTCGCCCGAATCTGGTAAAATTCAATAATAAAGTTTTACAAATAAATTTCATATTACTATACTAACAATTTTACATTGTACTCATTAAAATTGTAATTATAATACCCAGTAAAACGAAAAAATATGCTTATACAAAAAAAACTACTGTTCAACAGGATCCTAAAGCGCAGTTGCCAAACAGAATTTCTTGTTTCAGATCCAGCACTACAGATCTGTTTCACTTGTAGGCTAAATCATTTACAAGATCTACCAGTTGGCACAAGGCCAATGTATGAAGTACCTTGTGTTTGACAACTGTGCTTTAATCTATTGTTTAAACTTAATCAATAACAAAAAAATCATATAAACTACACTATAACAAACCTCCTGGCTCTACTGCTTTCCCCACTTGCCTTGGCATTCTTTTCAGCTAACGTATAATTGGAAATTCTGTCTTGCAATAAACTTATAGTACTATTTTGAGCACTGGCAGGGGCACCGGGGGGTGGGGGCGCTGGACGGGATGTGCGCGGCGGCGGCGCGGGGGGCGACTCATCGTCATCAACTGCCAGCTCTTTCAATTCATTCAATAACTCAGGGTCATCTTCATCTAAATCCATTAAAGTAATATGTGTATATTATAAGAAAACTTAAATATCAGCATGCCAACTAATCACATATAAACACAAAATGTCAAATTTCTCTTGTTGATTTTGGACTTTACTATCAATATGATAAGGTTTTAAATCAAATGTAGAAATTTTACAGTATTGTTTAACCTGACATGCTGTTGACTATAAAGATGTTTTCATAATTTTCAAAACACTAAGATTAAAATGAAAAAATGCAGTAGTAATTTAAAAATAGAAGATTAATTAAAATAAAAAATATAATAAACAAAGATTTTGATTTACATATACAAAAAATAAAAATAGCTCAAATTATTATGCCTATATTGATATTATAAAGGGGAAAGATTTGACTGTTTGTTGGTTTGTTTCTTTATACTGAATAGATGAATAGCACTGATAGATTAGTGCGCATTGAAATATAATAAACTAGTATTAAAAAAATATTTCAAACTCCATATAGTGGTGGTATAAGCTATAATATAAGTTACACAACATTGAAGGAAAACAGCTAGTTCAGGTATAAAGCAACAGTACTAAGTTCTTACACACCAGAAACATCTTCATCGGAAGGCACATCTTTCAAACTTTGGGCAATCATAACATCTAAGTTAGCTGCAGGTACAGGTGCTGGCTTCTTAGGCTTGGCAGGTTTGCCACCACCACCATCACTAATCAGAGCCAGTTCAGCTTCTAAGTCAATATCATCATCTGACAGGTCCAAAAGTTCATCATCTCCATCATCCATATCCATATCAAGTAGACCAAACTAGAAACAAAAATTATAGTAATTGTATGACTTTTAGACATTGAACGTTTCTGTTGAAGTAAATATTGATGTTGTTTTAAGTTACAGTAACTATTATAAAGCAGAAACACATTTGTTATTTTGTTTCATTGTTAATGTGTTCCACCCATGTGTTCCATACATTCCAATGAAATGAATATATTTCTTAATGAAAAATGTTAAAAAAATCCACTTGCCCTAGGTTCTCTGAGATGGGATGGGAAGTGGATTAAGCATTTTTCATTAAGAATAGCATGGTGAATGCAAAATTTATAAAATATATTTCTAATACTACAAAAAATGTGCTTCCACCTTAAATCATTACATTAATAAATAATTTGATGATTACATTAACAATTATTACATTTTTAGATATTTCAGATCCTTTACATCACATCCACTTCAAACAATACTTATGAGATATATTAATAATTTGTTTTTTTATTATTTGAAAATGCTTACTTTTACTACAATTTTTTGTCTAAAATACATGGAATAAAACATTAAGTTACTTTATTTTACATATTTATGCATGAATCTTTGGAAACAATTACATTAATAATTGCAACTTTGAAATGTATAAATGTCTAATAAAAATGAATTATATCTGTTCTATAAATTTATTGTATTTAGTTTACACTTAAATCATATTGTTAATAATCTGACAAACGATAATTTACAAAAAAAAATGACGAAATCTTATAAGAATACATTTGTTGATATGATAAGCAAACATGTTCAGATTCTTTGTTTACAATGTAAATTATCTCTTTAAAGGCAGTAAAGCGAAAATTATTATTTCTTACTTCGAGTTTAGCTACTAACTGTGGAAATATTAACTCATTCTTAGCTAACAGAAGCTCTAAACAGGATCTTCTATCAAGGACAAACAAATCTTTAATGAACAATGACTCACTTGGGACAAACTAGTCTTCTTTCCAGAATTCGGTTTTTTAGACATAGTATCAACTTATTTCTTACAACGAAAAAATAATTAATTGTAATTGAATTACAACAATTAACGAGAAATAAGCCTGATATAAAAATAATAACTTATTCTTCAAAATTATTTGCACAGTTTTTATTTTCAAATGACAAACATTTTGCAAAGTTTTTGTCAAATAGCTGACAGCAAATGTCAAATGATGGCCCACAGACCATGATATGATAGACTAATGAAAAGTTTATTAAGTTTGCTGTTTCAATGAGGAAGTAATTAAAAAATAAAAATTAGTTCTTGAAATCATACTAGATGTCACTCACGATGTTTTAATTTTGTTTATGATATTCATTCAAATTTTGTTTCTGACGTAATAAAAAGTAAATTGAGTATCGAAAACCAATAAATATGACTTTGCACAAACGTCATTTTAGCCAGAAGTCATGTTATTTTGTACGAATACCTAGTATATTTGATACATATCGGGTAAGTATATAGATAATAAACGGATTTTTATTATAATCGTTTTTATGACTTTTTTTGGTGATTAATATCATTAATTCACCATACATAATATAAAAATATTATTGAGACTTGATGTAGTTTTGTTTTTGTAAGTTCAACAAATAACTAATAGCAATAAAACTAATTTACTTACAGCCAGTTGCACAAACGTCCATTAAAGTTGACTTTAGTTTAGAGCGACATTATCGATACAAATCTTAATGAACGTTTGTGCAACTTATAATTAGTTGTTATTGTTTTCAGAACTTTTGTTAAATATTATAATAAAAAATTCCTAGACCTACTATGGCATAAGTATCTTATTTATAAATACTATTTGGCGGTAATATTTTTAGTTATATTATAACGGCCCTTTTAGTTATATTATATCACAATTAGTTTCCATTTTCCTCTATACAAATAAAAAAAAAATATTCAAAAATTACTTTGTAATTATCGAGTTGCGTTTGCAAAACTCTAACTAATTAAATTACAACTCGATATTAATCCGAGTTATCAGATCCATAACAACACTGACAATGAGGAAGTATTAAAAAAAAATTAGTTCCCGAAATTAAGCTAGATGTCGCTACGGTACGTGCTTGATTTCTCCATGACAACATTTCCGGTTTTCTTTCATGTTTAAAACTAAACTAGTTTTCAAAACTCAATAGACAACTCATATTCTATTTGTAGGTACTTTTTCGTATTTGTATTGATATCTAAGTTTCGAACTTTTTAAATTTCAGTTTTTTGATATGTTATCCACTCGTCTGTGGGGCCGTCTAGCGATAAAAATGCACTTCTGTTGGCACCGCGTCGCGAGCACGTCACAGACAGGGTCGCGGAGCGTGTCGATTCTTATTAGAATGTGTTTTTTTCCAATAAGACCGTTAAAATAAGCTTAAACTAATAATATTCGGAATCTAGAAACAATTATCTAGTAGCATTATTAATTACAACTACTCTGAAGAGTTAATAACAATAGAAAATAATTATGGAAAAATTGGTTCTAAAAAATTGGAATTATAATTTGGAATTAAATAAAAACAACGCAATGAGTTCTATGTATTTTAATTGTTATTTAATCCTGCCCATATATAAATAACAATACAAGCAAAATATTTGTACACGATCATAGAAATAGTTTTTGTATAACAAGATTCTTTGGTACCTACCTACAAGGCATCCACTTGAAACGCGCGTCAAGTGGCCTTATATTTAGATCTCGGTTCCCAGTAACGATAACAAGTAGAACAAAGACTTTTTATTTATAATAGCTTAAGTTCATCTACTACACAATAAAATAGCGAGCCGAACGTTATTTTTATAGATTTTTCATAAAAAAAAACAAAAATGACACTAAAATATGACCTTTAAAACAGTACTTCCGAAAAATCTATTTTCTTGCCAAGTTTATATAAATATTGTAATAACAGTTGATATTTTGAGTTCTCGAAAGATCTATGGATCCTATTTTATATAATTACAAGTATGCTTCGAACTAAAATTTGATAATAAATTCAAGTAAAAACAGAGAAATTTGAGACATATTGGACATAAACATGCTAGTTTAATATGGATAAGACATAAAGTGACGTATCACTTCACGTTTTAATTTTAATATATAAATAATTTTAGAACATACTTTTTTATAAGATTACCTAAAAACAAATGTGTAAGGTGGACATAATGCTAAAAACATTATCTATTAGTCAACTTTAGCAGATAAGTATATAAAGTATATAGGTAGGTAGGGGTTTAATGCTGAAAGTGCATTATTAAGGTGATATATTTAAAATCTAATAAGTTATCTATCACATTATTTACAGTCACTTGGAAAACATCAGAATATTGGCTATATCAAAAAAAAAACACAGGATACAATATAGATGGAAAGTTTTATCATAAACAAAAACAAGACAAAAATTTACAGGTAATGAACGTTTTTAATGAAAAATGCATATTAATATTTTAATACCTTTTTTATAAAATACAACTTAATTTTATTTTGCACAAACTTGCACAATATTTAGTGTATAAAAACAATATATGTATTACAGTATACAATGGAACAGCTACAGAAATTAATTATTAGGTACGTAATAAAAATAAATAAGTTACCACATCCGGCTTCCAACAGTACACAAGTAGCCATGCATTTATTTGTAATAGAATTAATTTTATTTAACGAAATCTGCAATTTTCGAAAATAATCGGTGCAAGATTACAAAGCAAACGTCTTATCTATACTATCCCACCATCGTCGACTGCCGCCATCTTAAACGCGAACTGGGTCTGTGGCGGCACCGCGCTGCGGTGACGCTCTGTCTGTGGCGTGCTCGCAACGCGGGCGTAGCATTCCCAGCTTTGTTTTTAATGATTTGCAGCTCAATTTAAACATATATAAGCTTTGTTACTCATAATAATAGGAAACAGTTTAATTTTAATACGCAATAAACAACAGTACAATAAGTTTTGATATTTATGTAACCTAAAAACCTTAAAGACAAAATTCGAGACCCTAGTGGCAAGCAGTGGAGTCCACACTTCAACGACGGATAAAACAAGAAAAATGGATTAAATACATGCTAATATTTATTTAAAATGAAAGAATAATAAACAATACTTACATTTTCCTCGAATAATTCCAAGCGGAGACACTAAACACAAACTTTATTGCTTTAAACAATGACTACAGTGAGCGGAGAATGTACCATAAAGTAACAGCTCACTACCATAAAGAATTATATTAGATGTTAGATTTTAGTTGTTAATATTCCGTCTTTGTTATCTTACTCTTTATTACGTAGGAGAAACAGGGACAAAGGTATTTTAGAGCGCTGACTCGGCCGATTTAAGGAGACCGAATGTCAACCACCGCGCTGCGGTCATGCCACAGATAACGGGGTAGATGACGATGCTCGCGTTGCGGTGGCACCACAGACGAGTGGTTATATAAAAGGAACGGAAATGACTGTCTTTGGTCCATTCGTTTCCTGCAAAAATCAACTTTTGCTAGAGTCGCCATCTAGTGGAAGTGCTTGTTTAGTGCTTTCTTTTTTTTTAAATACTTCCTCATTAAGTAAAATATTTCTTTGGAAATATTGGAGTCAATATAAACTTAATAAAAAATCTAAGAAAACTAAATTAAAGATGTTTTTCATTGCGATCCTTATGCCATAAGATATGAAAAATGGTATGATACTGCAGCCCACTAAATAAAACAGTTTCAAACGTAGGCCTTCTATATACTATTGTATTAACAAATTTTATGATTTTTCAACAAATACTACCAAAGAAAACTGAAGCTGAACCTATAGGTCAAAACAAATGAAAATATTTTTCAACCTCATGCTTTCATGTTTTGGAGATCTAAAAATCATATGATTATTACATAAAGTTTTCCAAAAACTTAAAGATTGAATTTTTTGATATAATTTCATACGGGCAGGCAGGAAAGATAGGTACTTAGGTCATAGACACTAAAATCTAGGAATATGTTTTTTATGTCTATGGATGGTACCCTCGTTCTTGCCATATTGTATATTAGAAATTATTACTAACTACCAAAGGAGCAAAACGAACTAGTAGATTTTTATATATAGAGATGTATAACTTAATTTTTTCAATCGTACATTTTCGAAATTTTATTTAAAGTACCGAATACTGATACGGAATGGCGAAATTTAATATAAACGAAATATGAAAAAGGAGTTTCTTTATTTATTTTAAGGGCAACACACAATTCATCGCAAGAAGAGTGACGTATGAACGGCCGAAGAAACGAAAACGAAAGAAAAGCCTTTCTGTGCCGTTGTTATCTTCTAATAATTCTGAAGAATGGCGACAAACGGCCAGGCTAATGGGCTTAAATCAAAAAAGAAAGATAACAACGACGTAAAGGATAATTTATGGTAACGATTCACAGTTAATTTTTCAACTAACATGCAGTTCCCATATAGGGATTCAATGTGTCACACCTACGTGATGTCAAGCTTCATTCCTGAGAAATATGTGACCTAGCTGCAACGCTTTACCTTTGTATGTAAAGTGACTGTGAAAGCTTTCTTTCTGAACTTCATACAAACAGTTCTCTGCACGATGACGCATCCGCTGTCGCTGTCACCTGTCTAGACTGCACGAACATCTGATGATTGATTATGCCTTTTCCAGGTCTTCAATCCTAGAGGAAGTTCAGAATCAAGGAAACACAAAACTACCTTCAAATAAAAATGTTCTAGTTTTGGGTGACAATGAGACTGGAAAGACAACTTTAGTAGCAAAATTACAAGGTGTAGAAGATCCTAAAAAAGGATCAGCCCTCGAATATGCATATATAGACGTTAGAGATGAATACAGAGATGGTAGGTGTTGTTCATTATATCAGTTAATTTTGAGTAGATACTTATTACATCAAAACACTAAGGTGTAATGGAATAGTTTTAGTAACACAATCCCTTCAATAAGTCTATAGTATTAGATACAATTTAAAACACGACAATCATTTATAGAAGTATTTATACAAAATATGAAATTCTAGCTAGACCTTAATATTTCTGTATTACTATTAATTTAAAAATTCTAAAGCAATGAATGGCCAATATGAATTGGAGTCCATTTATGAATATAAATTTTTAATTATACTCTTATAAGAAATTAGAATTTACCAATATACAATGAAATTTTTCTTTGACAGACCACACACGGCTCAGTGTATGGGTACTGGATGGTGATCCAGGTCACACAAACCTTCTTAAGTTTGCCTTAAATGAGGAGACATTCCCGCACACACTAGTTGTACTCACAGTGGCTATGACCACTCCATGGGGTATATTAGACCAGCTACAAAGCTGGGCATCTGTGCTCGGCGACCATATAGACAAATTGGATCTCACTCCAGGTATGAATTATATACTTAATTGTATGAACACCATTAAACAAAAGACAAACAGGAACATAGTACAGTAGAATTGGTAGCCTTATTGCTAATGAGCTATGTTGTTTATAATTCAAGTTAGATTAACAAACAGCCATACATCATGTTTAAATATTATCATAGACAGCAAAAAATATAAAAAAATACTCAACAAGTTTATTTGTTGCTTCTGATAAAGCAAGAAAGAAAATCATTGTTTTTAAGTAAATATTTGACTAAATTACAAAAAGTATTGTGAAAGGTTGTGGTTTTAATTCTACTTTTATTGCATTCCATTGTTGTTATTGGTAATTATTCTACTAACAAGTTACATAATAGATTCATAAAATCACTTAAAATACATACCACTATATCTTTATTCAATACTAGCTGTTACCTTCAGTTTTGATATTGTAAATATCTTATCTAATATATAATGTAGCTTCCCATTCCATGAAAGGATTTTCAAAATCAGTCCAGTATTTCAGGGAAAAAAACAAGCATTTCCTCTTTAGTTATAATTTTAGTTAAGTAATTTAAAACATTATTTTGTAGAGCTCATGAGTCAGAAATTCCTTAGTTTTAAATAATGCATGTATTTATTTCCACTTGTTAACTGACATAGACATAAAGTTGGTAACATTTGTAGTTGAACTTACACACCATGCATAGTAATTGTCTCATCTCAGTAAGTCATGTTGCATCCTTATTAATTAGATTTCTGTTAAGTCTGTGTTTTACAGAATTATAATTCCTTAATTACCTATCTCTAAATTTCAATCTAAATGATTTGTTACATTAATCACTTGCTAAATTTGATTAATTTCATTATTTCTTATATAGGTTTCTATAAAATCTTCCTTGGGTATATCACCCAAAAATAATATAATTATATCTAATGCTATATTTAAATTTATGATATACCTATTTTGCTATACATTTTTCATTATTGATTCATTAATCATGTAATCAGGTAACTACAATACAATGAGTTTATCCTATTATAAAAGATTTACTTTTGTAGTAACTTCACATGCTATCATCAACTGTACTCGTACTAAGTAGTATTCTTTTAATAAAAATCTAGTAAAACATAATATGCATATCCATGCAAGTATTTTAAAAGTAATATGTTTAAGTTAATATGCATTAAGAAGGAACTATAGATAAATTAGAACAACAGTAAAGGTTCATTTTTATCTGTAGACATTGGGCGCACCAGACACGTCCTGACACAGACACAATTTACTTTAACACAGCCTGGCATATATAGGTAAAGGCTATTATAAAGTTGATGATTATTTTAAGCATCACAATGCATTTAATTAATAGCTTTTGCTTTTGTTCTAAAACAACTAATTATATGTTCAAACTATAACCTACAGACTTTGAAAGTTGTATTCATTATTGTGATAATACATATTGTTTTGGTAATGACATGATTTATGTAAATGTCATTACTTATGATAAAATAGCTGCTAAGTTCGAACAAGTGATAGGGGAAAAAATTTTTTGGACTATTCAAAAGTGCTTGTAATAAGCCTACTTGAATAAAGATATTTTCATTTCATTTATGCTGTTAGCATCTGTATATACAAGAAAATCTTTCATCTTAGCCAACACGTGTTTGGCGCGCTCTATCTTTGTAAATATATACATATATAAACCTCAATATTTATTAAGCCAGCACCATAAATAAATTAGAACATCAGTACTATCACTGATAATTAAAACAACAGACTCAACCCATTTCATTCATTCCTATCCTCAACAATGAAAGCTAATCTTTTATTTCTGGATCAGCTACAAAAGTTAATTTCTTATATTTATTCAATAATATACATTTATTGTGTCATACTTATTTATAAAGTCTTAGAACAATTTATCTTGCATCGTTAATAAATTAGAGGTCCCCACGATGTTTATATTTTGACTGTGACTCAGACTGTTACGTCATACTATACATTGTCGCGTAATGTTTTACCGATGCCGGACGTCGAGTGTCGCTAATACTCTCGACCAGTTTATGATATGATCAATTTAATTTATTCTTAGACCCTAGTGTAACGCTTATCGATTATTGCGCCGTCGTCTATTCATTGTCACGCTAAGTGTGAAAAAATCACATTTTTCTATTATGTCTACGTAAATTATTATCTAAAAAGAATTTTCATTATTAGCCATTCATTATTACCAAGTTTAAATAAGTATTAGGTCTTTAGCTATGAAATTGCCGTTTTTCATGAAATAAATGATGCGTATTTTTTTCTATATTTTTTATTTCCATTAATCAAAGTAATCACCCATGCAATCAATGCATCTTTGCTAACGTATTGCTAGCTTTTTGATTCTTGAAGAAATCAGCTGGACGGGAGGCAACAAATAATTGAAAGCACAGAACATAGAGAGAGAATAGAAGTAGTAAGTGGGCGGGGCACGCGTCGCTGGCATATGCGCTTTTACTCATATGACGCCCTTTCCTCGGTTTTATGTTTGCCAGTCGTTCGTCAATCGTCGAGTGGTGATTTTACAGATTTTTTCTATAAAAAATGCCGTTTTGTGCTATTATCACTTGCAAAAAGCAAAGCAAAGTATACAATCTAACTAATGCAAACATTTCCTTTCACTGGTAAGTACAATTTTAGTGCTAAAATATAAAAAACGTAATAATTTGACACAATGTTAAATAAAATATACATTGATTGCTCAATCCAACATCAATATTTCTGACCCCATTACTAAACAGTAATGTAAATCATTTTGTGCACTTTTGCAAAAAATAGTGCTGTGCCTTCATTTGTCTGAAATGTACCGATAGGCTGCTGCTGCTCGGAATCGTATTGTTAATTATATGGATCGTAATCGATAACTAAAACATATTTATTTAGAGCTTTTCTGTCATCATTTCATAACAACGTTATCGATAAATATATGCCATAATTATATAAAACTAAAAAATACTGTTTACAAGGGAAAATTATAGATGAACTGATACTGAACAAATGAAATAATGAACTGTCCAGGCACTTTTTTTACGAAGATTCGGTTAATTATTTACACGCAGATAAATATTAAAAATTACTGATGTGCTATAAATATCTAAGTTACGAAGTATATCACCGTTTAATTAACAATACATAAATTAAACGAAACTTCGTGAAAAGCTAAGAGTTGGCCTAATAGGTCTTGTTAGAAACTGGTGAAACTGGATTTCACTTATTTTGCATTACTTATATTTCAGTTTCCTTAATAACTTTACAACGGATTGCCTTGTTTACATAATTAATTTTGCCCTATCTGTTTTAGACCTAAACCTACCAAATGAATTTCAAAATAACATAATATCTATACAAACAAAAAATTATGTTTTCAACTAACGTAATATTGTTGGTGGTGTGAATTTAATTTACAAAATTAATTTTTAGGCGTCAATTTAATTTACCTTATTATGAATGAATGAATGAATGAATGAATGAACACTTTATTGTACTTGAAAATAAAATCAACATAACAAATTAATAACTGATTCATAATCGGAAACTATTATTATAGAAATCGAGTTAAGAAAGCCACTTTAAAGAACCGCCCACAGAACAGCTTTTATCAGTTTTTTGTTGCTCCATATTTGCACATAAGTTTATAGACGCATGTCTCAAACGGATGTGACTTTATATGTAGATTGACGTTTGTACGTACTTATCGCTTTTGTGTCTATCTTCAAACGTTTTTTTGTCACGGCTTTCAAACTCATACTTGACCAGCAATTCCTTATTGTCCAGTCGTTACAATTAATAATGTAGCTACTACTATTATTACAGATATAAAACTTAGAATAATAAAGTAAAACAAACATGGCTATGATCAATTTATTAATGTAATGATCATATTAGTTATTATGAAATGAAATGAAAATATCTTTATTCAAGAAGGCTATTACAAGCACTTGGAATGGCAAGTTTATTTTTATTTCAACTTTTTTTTTGTGAAGGAATCGTAATGTTTTCTTGCGTACATAATATTTTCATTGATGTATTGAGAGGCAACAGTCAAAATATTTATTTCTTTAAATATTTCTCTGAGAGATTCTCTAGACCGTAAATTATATATAGCGTGGACAGCTCTCTTTTGTAGAATAAAAATATCTTGAATACTAGCCGCAGAACCCCATAACAATAGATTATACGTAATTCATTACACTATGAAAATAACTAAAATATACCAATCTTGCCGTTTCAACATTTGTTAAGAGTCTAATTTTCTTAACAACAAATGCTGCAGAACTCAGTCTACTTGACAAATTATCAATATACCAAAATACCAAGGAACTTTGTCGATTCCACCATCTCAACTTTTTCACTATTTACATTTATAAGTATATTAACATGCCTCACATTAGGTAATGCAAACTTTATGTATTTCGTTTTATTTGAATAAAGCTTTAAATAATTACTATCAAACCACTGTAGAAAATTGTCGAACTGAATTACATTGAACTGTTTCATAACAAAATTTAAAGCTCTTATTTTATCAACTAATATGTCACATCACTAATATGCACAATCGGAATGATACCAGTAAGAAAAAAATACAAATTAGGCTTAATGTAATTAATACAAAAATTCTGTTGTTTTCTTGATTTTTGTTTTTTTTTTACACTTTCCCTCGCTTAATTATATTACTCCACAGACATACGATAGAGTGTATCATTAAGTTTTCTTAGTTTTTGTACTGCGTTTTTTAAAAGATATTTTAATAAATTATGTAGGGAAAAGCCTTAATTTTTCAGTATTCACTTGGTTACAGCAAAATCTAATATTAATAGTTCGCACATAAAATGATGACCCCAATTTTTTTAAATGTGCATAATCTTAAAATATTTTTTTCCTTCTGGTATCCCCATATACAGCCACGTGACAGTTCAACATTCATGTTAAAGTAAATTATTTATTATCACGTTGAATTAGAGTTTGTTTTTAATCGTGTGATTTCTTAGCTTAGTATCTTTTTGGGATTTGATTTATGTTATCGCGAACCTATCGCGTGGCGGTTTTTCATGTAGTGAACAAAATGATCATTTCATCTAATCTGTATTTGTGTGCGGAGAGGCGACACTCGGTTCCCATACTAAATTAATATCATTATACTTCTAATCTCTCTCTATGTTCTGTGATTGAAAGGCATTTTGTACTACCTCTCGGGTATTGTTTTTTTTTCCCGCCAAGAAGTTATCCAAATTCTGGAAAAAGTAGAAGTCTGTAGGCGCAAGGTCTGGTGAGTTCGGCGGATAACGGAGAACTTCCAACCCCAGCTCTTGTAGATTGGAGACCGTCTGCTGTGCAGTATGAGGTCGCGCTTGTTGTGCAGGAGCTTTGGAGTCGAACGATTGACCAAAGCTGGTTTCTCCATCATTGTGTTCAGTTCTTTACCGAACACGTCTGCAGTTATGCTCGTCTCATTTGGTAAGAAGCAGTAATGAATTACACCCACGATAGACCACCAAACAATGACTATCACTTTTCTAGGAGTAAGTTTTCGGTTAGGACATTGCTTGGGTGCTGAACCAGAGTCCAACCTACTTGATGAGCGCTTACGATTGTCGAACAGGATCAATTTCTCGTCACAAGTAACAATGCGGTTCAGTATTCCTTCATTTGTATGCCTGTTGAGCAAAGTGCAAGGCACGTCTCCACGCGTACTACGTGCTGGCGATCATTGAGTTCGTGGGTGCTTGACAAACGGGTGTCAAGCTTTTTTACCTTACCAATGTGATGCAAATAGACCAATATTGTTTTTAAGCTAATGTCGAAAGCTGCTGCTAATTCAGCGGAAGATTTTCGAGTTTCATTAGCTTCCACAACCGCATTTATTTCGCCATTGTCGGCCAAAGTATTCCTTCAATATTCGGACCGCTTGTGCCGCTTTGCTGCCATGACGGTATTCATACTCCATAATTACTGGAATTTTTACTTATCCATGACGACGAAAAATGTTTGAATGCGTTGAAAACACTAACTATTAAAAATTTGGCTGTTTTAGAAAAAAGAATTCCGTGTTTTTAACATGTAATAAATTTTAAATTACAATTATCAGCCTAAAAAAATATTTTCTTTTTTTTATTGAAATAGCCAATACGGCAGAATGGCAATTTCATAGCTAAAGGCCTATTAACATTATCTCCCAGTCTCATATCAGTACTGAATGGTAACGAAACTCCTGGACCGATTTTAAATATTTTTTTCACATACGAGAAGCATGGACGGCATGAAGTATCATAGCCATCTTTAAATAGGCTATAATTTACGCGAATTAAGTCGTGAGAAAACAGCTAGTATTGTATAATTTAACATGCCTAATTTAAAAGACTATACTTTTAAATATTTCAATAAGCTTGAATTGGTGACTTGGTATTTTTTTTTGTAACAAATCTTCAAAAAATTCGGCATTACTCTGACTGTGTATGAATCTGAATATAATTTGATTTATTAATGAAAACAGTAAAACCCGTATATATTGAAGATGGAAATAGTCAATGAAAAATTTAATGAAATTGAGAACTCAATTTACCTCAATTACATCCTTGCAAAAATAATATTCTTAGACATATTAAACTGGTTGCAGGATCAAAGACACAAAGGATCTGATACGAATATATTCTCTTTAAGCATTTTAATTCGTAATGTATCAGTTTTCTTCTTATAATCATGTTACACAAGGCCCAGCAAGCTAATAGGCTGGTGATGATGATAGCACTGGGCAAAACTTAAAGTAATTTAGTTGATCCTTTTTTCTCTTTGCAGAAGATAGATTAAACAGTAAAAAGCAGCAAGTGCAGAAGTGGCAGAGGTATACAGAGCCCGGTGACGAGCTAGAAGCTAACGCGTCTTCCCCTATGAAGCGGTCATCGAGGAACCTCTCTGATGACTTGGAGAACGGCGATGACGACGACTGCCCACTGCCTGAGGCCGTACTCACCACCAATCTGGGCTTGGACATTGTCGTTGTAGTCACCAAGGTTAAGATTATATTTTAGTCTTTTCTTATACATCTTGTTGAAAGATGGAAAACGAGTTTCCATTATGCCAAAATCAGGGCAACTTCGTAGCAGCTTATATTTAAGTGGACTTTGCACATTTTTATGTATGGATTAGTATTTCAAAGACTACCCCTCCATACAAACATAGGAAGTGAGAAACTTTACCTCTTTATAATATTTTTTTATATTAAATGTAATTTTCGTTACAAAACTATAGACTTCTTTGTGTATTTTATATACTATACAAACTGTTCAGAATTCAAATTACAGCCATATCCAGCTATATTCTTAAAATCTAGATGGCCATGAGTGTTTGCACAGTTAAGTTTTGATTTACATAAAACCTACACAATCAAATATCAACCACGATTGATTTCCAAAATATAAACACTATATACGCGCACACCATAATGAAACAACTTTTAAACGTTTTCATCGCATTTGTATTTATTTTTATTGACATTTCGTAGCCTTTACAGGTCCCGTGTTCACATAAGACTAAAGTGTTGATTGTTTTTTTAATTAAGAATATAGCTACATTAAAAAAACAATATTGTTGAACACATTCACAATACATTTTTTTTATTTTCTATGGAAACATTTACATTTGACTTATTTATTTACCCCTGGCTACCGTAATCTACCACCAGTTCCAACTTTAGGTGTCTTGCCTGAGAAGAACTGGCGAAACAAACTCCGACAAGAAAAGTGAATTGCTCATCATATTGTACATACCTATACAATGGGGAGAGCTAAATAAAAATTCTGTAGAATCTTAGAATAGGGGTCGCCACACAGTAGGAGGCCGCGATGATCGATCAATCCTGATACGTTTCACCTCTTTGATGATTTTGTCTCATCTTTACTGTTTACTTTAGGGTTTTAAAGACATAAACTCTGACATGTATTCCTTCAATATTTCTTCCTGATTTTATCTAATCTGGTGACACCCCTAGCTGCGCAACATTTTTAGGAGACATGATGCCGATACAAAAAAATACTCTGAATACCGTGTATAGCTTATATTGGCGTACGCTACTACTACGGTAACTATAAATTACTTCGAATGAAGCTGCTCACATAAACGTGGTAAATTTGTTTGATCTTTAATTATTCTTCCCTGTCAAACATCGCCATTACAAATATAATATATACCAAAATACAATATATCAGTTTTCTTTTATTTTTTTTAATTCAATTTTTATTTATCTAGCCTATGTTTGCCGCATATGATATAGCTTCGATGTAACCCGTAGATGAAAGAGTTTTTAAATCGGTCCAGTAGTGTCGGGGCCTATTCCTTGTAAACAAATTGAATGTTAGCAACTGGCTGGTCTTCCCAACCTTTTATAAAGCTTTGTTAATAATTTGAATATTATCACGTTGTACGAGTAAGCTACGTACATTGCATTGCATCATCAGTTTTAAGTCGACCACAATTATATTTACGTTTTCGTTTACAATAGGCTAGTTGACAACTTTTTTTTATTTCATAAATAAATAGTCCATTAACATCTGAGAAATAATGTCGAAGTAACAGCATGTCTGCGATAAATAGTTTCGGAGATACGGTGCTGTGTTTGTAGAACTGGCGCTAGTTGGCCGAAAACGCTCCCTACAAATTCAAAGCACTCAGTGACGTCACATGGTGCTACAGTAGCGAAAAATGTATGGGCGTCTGGACATTTTTTGTAATATCTTTGTTATTTGTGCGTTTATGTTTATAGCTGTTATAATGAAAGTTGTAACATTTTTTATATCTAATTTAAAGCCTTATGTATTTTAGCAGATTTTTGTAGTAGATTTTCTGTACTTTTTCAAGTTTCCAAAGCGTAATATTTTCCAAATCATTGACTTAAAATTTGTTTTGTTAAACATTTATAAGTTGAAATGGTTCATATTTTTCGAAGATATAACAAAAACCTGTATTTTCACTTGTTGGACACGAGCCTATTCCAAGTGAATCCTAATACAAACAAATCATTCCAGACTGACTACATGAGCACATTAGAGAAGGAGCACGACTATCGCGACGAGCACTTTGACTTCATGCAGCAGTGGATCAGGCGGTTCTGTCTGCAGTACGGCGCGGCGTTATTCTACACCAGCGCGAAGGAAGACAAGAACTGTGACTTACTATACAAGTACCTCACTCACCGGATATACGGGTTGCCGTTCCGGACGCCGGCGCTTATCGTGGAGAAAGACGCTGTGCTCATGTGAGTTATTGTACTTTTTTGTTTTATATGATAATTTGTGAAAAAAAATACCCTCAGAAAAAAACAAAAAATTGTAGCAGAAATAAATTTATCCTTATCTTGACCTCAATTAAAATCCATTTTGAATATGTAATGATTATGCATGGATAAAAAAAATATTTAGTCCATCAGTCAGAATAAATAGAAAAATATAAGATACATATTTTTTACAGTTCTGACAGGTTCTGACAGTTGGTTATTTAATTACAAAATATGCAGAATATGTATGATGTTCTTGCCGCTATGTTATTTGTTTTTTGAAACAATGACATTCCTATGTGTAGCCTTTGTCGTTACACTCTGACAAATGTGTTTGCGTATTTTGAATTGTTTGATTTTTATGTACTTTTTATTAATCATTAATTATTTTCCTAACAAAAACGATATAATAAAAGATATTTATATAGACATTATTCTAAAATTATATAAATTTGTGAATTTTCGTAATAAATAATATATGGCCTTTTCCTGAATCAGATGTATATTCCCTTATGATATTGCATATCGTTGCTATAGAGTTGAAAATTGCTCAGTGTCAGAATTGTTGAAATAAGGTGATTGGACGATTTTTTATTTTGCCAATGATAGAAACCCTATAGCAAACGGTTGCTTTATACATCTATATAAAATATCAATATACCGTTGTGAAATATAAAATATGAATATTAAAAAATAAGTTACGAAATTGCATAAAAACTAATGCTGATTCTGATTTTGAGTCTTAAAATCGCACGATTATCTTATTATCTTAAAATCGTCGTGATTTTTTGTTTTTGTGTCACGTGATTTGAAACAACCCGCCATTGTGTGACGTCACTGTGGCGACAGCTGTCAGATATAATTATGAATCAAATTCCTAAATGGCGCTGCTCTTATTTATATCTTTTATTTCGTAATCGCTCGTTAGATGGCACTGTTCTTTTTTATTGTCATCTTTTAATCATCTGTTTTGAGTACATATGACTGACAGCGTTTTGCGCGGGTATAAAAAAGTTTAAATTTTGATTTAATTATAAGGCAAGAAAACGTGTTTATTTTTTCGAAATATTTGTTATATGTTTTTTGTTTTAATTAAAATAATCAGTTACAAGTATTATTTCCAACAGAATAGAATACCTTATAGTCTCCATGTAAATAATTGAGTAGATTGTTTCTAGATATAATAGATAGAGTTCATTAATGTTGAGCCTCTTGACTGTCATTAATTATAGGTTTCGATTTTCGCACATAATGCATGTGTAAATGTTTACCTTGACAATAAAACTATGTAGTGAATTTTAATTGAATACCTTAAATAAAACATCCTGAATACCATAAATAAAACATCCTGTATACCACATATGCCTAAAACTTATTCATTAAAAAGGTTTGACGTCTGTGTACATATACATTGCAGAACAACACGCAATCTCCTTTTTTGAACTTAACTTATCTACAATATGTTAAGGATTAAAGTCCATTAGACATATTTGGTAGTTTTCATTACCAATACTATTATAATAATAAATCGTGTAATTATTATTTGCAGACCCGCTGGCTGGGATAGTATGAAAAAAATTAGCATATTATATGAAAACATGCAGTCGTGTAAACCCGACGACTATTACAGAGATGTTATTGTGCAGCCTGCTATACGAAAAGTGAGTGGTTTATTTAATTATAAATCTCTATAATGTAATAATTAGTCTGGATTGTTATAAAGCAAAATTGATCAAAACTAATAACCATTTTAGTACTTAAAATAAGTTCCAGCAAAACACCCCAATTTTTGCAAGGGTCGGTCATGGTAAGGGTGACCCAAAAAATATTATCTCAAGCTACTCAGTGTTTCGGAAGGCACTTTAAGTCGTTGGTCCCGGCTACATTTGCAGGACGTAATAATCTCCAATAGGATATTTGACTAATTTTGAAAAAAGTTAATATTATTATTTATTACATTAATATTTTGGGTAAATTTACTGTATTCATCAATTAAAGTTTAAATTTTAGAAACCGCGCGAAAATGCTGTATCTATCATACGCCGCCATTACGCCGCGTATGACGTCACACGCTAGTAAATAAATATATTTCGTCAAACTAAAATCGTCAACAGGAAGCCATATTTACTAGCGTTTTCGTGTCAGATAAAATATCAAAAAAATATTTATTTTATTTAGTGTAATCTGCAAAAATTATAAATTTGTTTGTTTAAAATAAAGTGAAATATGTGTGTTATTATGCTATTATCTTATAGGATGACCTTAACAATAAATATATTTTTAATATTGTTAAATACTCTATTCGCATTGAACCAGCTTAGCTCCTTAGGGTCCTTAAATCAAATAGAATAATTTATTGGCCATATAACTCAGAAGGTTACACTCGGCAAGTCTTTTACAATAAGCATTTCAAATTAACGGTACATGAGGAAAGCCGCCGGAATGGGGACGTGAAAAGAGTAAAAGATCTTGTATGTTTTGTGTTCAGAGCGGCACTAGTCGTGAAGCCGAAGTCCAAGCGGAGGACGAGCAAGCGTTCCTGCAGCGGCAACTGGCCGCGCTGCAGGCCGGCACGCCCGCGCCGCCCAGGGCCGACTCGCCGCTGCGGGCCACGCATCGGGCCGCACAAGTATGGCGCTCTGTACTTATAATGTGACACTGTGTCTGTTCGTGCAACGGATAGTGGAGATGGTTGGAGAATGTGGGGCTATTTCGAATGTTAAAGCAAACTGTTATTGTCTTGTTTAAGTCCTTCGAGCTGGATTTGAATGATTGGAAAATGATTTTTTGAGCTTTCCGCCAGCGGATCCGCCCGCATGGTTCCTAGGGAACTGTTTATTTGGATATCGATTCGTATTATGACACGGATATAATTGAATAGTAAACAATGGTTATGGCAACGTTTTAATTCTTCATACAAACTTGAATTCCCATTTTCATCCCTTTATTTGCTGTTTTTTGATAAAATATAGGCTATGTTCACGTAGGTGAAAGAATTCCATTCAAACAAACGGTCAAATCTTTCCTCTTTATAATATAAGTGTAATTTTTTTAAACTCAAGCTGAGTCTACTTTTAAAAAAACACCTAATTGTCGACTTTGAAGTTTGAATTTAGGTGAATACGAAGATGGCTTTTCAATATTTTTACTAAGAGAAATAATGTCATAAAGCGTCATAACTGTTGGATGTCCAGTTTATAATCTCAATGTAACATCGAACAGTTGGACGGCGCAAAGATAGGCATGGGCCCCGGCACGCCGGGCAACGAGGGCGTGCTCGCGAACTTCTTCAACTCGCTCCTGTACAAGAAGACGGGCGGCGCGGGGCGGGGCGCGGACCCCCCCTCCCCCGCCGCCGCCGCCGCGCGCTCCGACGCCGCCGCCGAGCTGGACCGCCTCACGCGCGCCAAGCCCCGCCTCGACCTCAGCTCCTCCTCCGACTGCTAGCGGTGAGTGCGTACACACAGCGAGACCGACCCACGCGCGCGAAGCCCCGCCCCTACCTTAGCTCCTCCTCCGACTGCTAGCGGTGAGTGCGTACACACAGCGAGACCGACCCACGCGCGCGAAGCCCCGCCCCTACCTTAGCTCCTCCTCCGACTGCTAGCGGTGAGTGCGTACACACAGCGAGACCGACCCACGCGCGCGAAGCCCCGCCCCTACCTTAGCTCCTCCTCCGACTGCTAGCGCTGAATACATACACACAGCGAGATCGCCCCCTAAAATAAAGTTATTAAAGGTATGCACATCTGAGTCATCTAACATATTTTCATCTACCACCAGTTCGGGATGTCTTTTGGCTGATAAGAAGAAGCTATCTTTCTTTAATATATGTAATGACATTTCCAAAAATTCTCATTACCAAGATATTACCTCGAATTCTATCAATGTTTTCACTCCGAGTTTAAAGTTGATAGCCTTGAGCACCGCATCCAATAACTTGACTCGAGTCAAGATTGATGCTTTTCTAAAAATAACCATCCCTAACTTGAATCATCATAACCAATCTATTAATGTCATCACAGCTGAGGCACAGGCCTTCCTTTTAGTGAAATTAATAATTTATACAAACAATCTGCCACCTTATCATTTAAATACAATTTCTAACCGATGTATAATTGACAAACTGAAGTATAATTATTTGATATCAAGTAGAAATCAGACCCAATTCGATCCACTTCACTCATATTAACAATAACACAAAGTTCAATTTGTCGTACTCAGGTAAAGTATTAGTGTGGGCGCCCGAGTCGCCGGTTGCACGCAGTAGCGCCGCATTCACGCCGCAGCCGTCGGACGGCGGCGTCGTGCACGCGATCCTACGTCCGATCCTACACGTCGTACACACGCGGTCCGCGTCACGTAACTATATATACAGCACGGAACTGCCTCACCGCCCCAGCGTTATACACACCCGGACTGTTCCAATGGCAATTCTCTAAATATTACCATCCTTATAGGCCGAGGCACGAATCATTAACACTAAAGGAGCATTGATTAATTTACCTAGCTTTCACTGAAAATTATCTTATGAAACATATTATTGGTAATATCACTTTTTATCGTCAAAAAAGCGACAAAAAATATCATTGATACAGCTATATTTTATGCGTGGATACGTCTATGTATGAATGGATATATGAGTAATTGATAAAAAAATAAATAAACAAATTGAAGACACTAAACACTAAATAAATAAATATTCGTTGCGTTAATTTGTTGAATGAAAAAAGTATTCACTAGCGCCAACAGATGGCGTTAGTGTATATACTCCTGCTGACAGAATGCCCCTCCCCCTGCAGAGCAAGCATAGTTCACTTATACGCCAATAGATGGCGTTAGTGCATATACTCCTGCTCACAAAATGACCCCCCTGTAGAACGAAAACATAGACGTATCCACGTCAAAAAAGTTTGGTGCACTCCGATTTCAAATTCTTATGTATATTTATTTATTTAGTACACCAATGATTGTTACATTAATTCGATTTAATAAACTTACTTAATTTAAATTTGCTGAATGTAGTCATTTACAGGTGAACATCTCATGCAAAAACTAAAATAAACATTTACTTAGCATACGAATCACACAATCTCACCCCATGAAAAACAACTAAGAAACAGTTACAAATAAAAAACAATGAAAACAATATACATAATAATGAAAACAATATTATGTAGACGTGAAAAGTAAATAGTTAATGAATTTCGCTCTCTTTCAATATTAATAATTTATTATAGTATAAATAATTTTTCGGTATATATAAACGAACTGATCTCTCCGCTAAATGCATCTAATACTACCTCAATAATCTTGAAACGTGCCTCGACCTCGTAAGACGCGAACGCACGCATCTTAAATCTATTGGCAATCAATAACCATGACCTTATATAAAATAAAATATCTTCGATAAAAATCGTGATATGTTTAGAGAATTGCATCCATCTATTGTATGACTTTATGCCCATGTATGACTAAGTATAATCTACGTATTTGATGCTTGTCCTGGAGCCAGCTTTACTGATAGAATATAGTATACAATGGTAGCTAACCATTTGTGCTCAAAATATCTGATGATACGCTAAAATAAACTATGATGTGAAGACAGATCTCGACTACTTAACGTACTGTTCTGCTGTGGACTGTTACTAGATGATTACAAATTACATAACCCTAGACCATTTTGAATTTGATTACAGTGTTATTATTGTTTTTAAATTATATTCAGATTTACTCAATTCGTTTGATCTAAAAATATTATGTGCTATAGTGATATGTAAAAAGTATCTGCAAGTCTCTTTGCAATGAGAATGAACTGTGTGTAGATATATATTTTTAGATCTGACTGTATTTTTTATTTGAAGGTAAAAATATGCTACTTTAAAACAAAATGGGGTCAATTTGCTTATATATGTATATTTATATATGTTTCTTCAAATAGTTAACAAAGTAAAGAAGAAGTTTTAGCAGAGTTTTCCTTAAAAAATTGAAAGTTTTTATAATAGTTATTGAAATATCATTCATCTATAATAGTTATTGAAATATCATTGAAAAGTCAATATTTTAATTTGTTTTATTCCCCTCTATTGTTTAATAAGGTAGTATATCAATATTAAAAATAATATATGTGAGTATCAATGATAAAATGTATACATTTACATAATGTCATTACAGCTCAATTACAAAAATTTTTCATTGATAATAAAACAACATATGTATTTGTAACGAAGCACTGTAGAACTCGGGTCTTTGTCGAATAACAACCTGTTTCTGAACAACTGGTGGAATGTTACTATATTATTACACGGAAGATTGATAATATTACACCGAGAAAACTGTTGATACTTAAAAATATACAATTCACTATTATACCAGTACTTACTTATTTCTTCTACATATGTATGATGTATAATAGATTATATAAATATGGATTCATTACTTTACTTACATTTTATTTCATCAGAAATTTGGTCGTAGTCATATAATTACTTATTAATTAAAAATTGAATTCCAACTTTATGCTTATCATCGTTAAGCTTAAATTTAAATGTCGCCTTTTCTGTACAACCGCTAATATAATTCTGAATGTCCCATGTAAATACTTGGTTTTTTTTTTAAGTTTATGAAATTCTGAACGTTTACAGTTATGATTTATTTTAGTTTTAAGTGTTACCACATATTAAGGATTGTTGCGGATAAAAACATGGAAGATTGAATGTGTCCGATATTTTATATCGCCCGTTTAAATTAAATTTGAATTTTCAAAGTGCTTTGAGTAGTTATCAAGAGCGCACGCTCATATTGTGGATTTTTAAGGTATAAAGTGAATAGTTAATTGTGATATGATTCCGTATATTGTAATAAAATATAAACAATATTGTTAGTTAAAATAACTAAACAATCTGAACTATGAATTTTTCAAACATAAATATACTTACACACCAAGTAGCAAGATTGATTTACAAAAGGACAATTATTTTATCAGATATCTTCGTACAAGAACAAAATGTCCTCGACCATTGATTAAGGCAACACATTTCCATTATCTGCTAATGATTACGAAACATTATTGTTCTGACACTTCTATTCAATTATTTGTAACTTTTGTTTACGTTTATTACATAAGTATTTATTTAAATAGATTTTATGTGGGATGTGCATAATTCGCTTCAGCGGATGTGTTATTCGAAACTTTCGATCACATGAATATGAACTCTGTGCTGTAAAAAACAGAGCACAATATCGAAAATGTTGTAGATTGAAAAGTTCGAATTGACTTATAGTGGACTGTGACGCATAAATATATAAGTAATTGCGAGTGAATAAAATTATCGACTGAGATTTAAGAGGTTCCATTACGATGTGATCTGTGAAGACTGGCAGTGCAGTGATTTGTGAAACGCGTTTATGCACAATGAAGTCACTATTTGTACAAACCGTTTAAATGTATGAGTATATAATATTTATGTATAACGTTGTAATTTATCATGTTTCTTTTAGCATATGTTTTGTGTAAAAAGTTATCGCCCTAAAATTGGATTATAATGGTGGCCTTTATTGTGTTACAGGATAATTGAATTTATTTATTTCTAATCTACTTACGGATTTTATTTAATTTTTTTAATTATTATTATTATTATTCCGGTCCATATTGATAGTGATTTTTATAGAGATGGTGTAAAATGTTTTTTTGAGATTGATTTTTGTTCGCATGTGGTGCAATACAGAACATTCCAAACCTGGTTTGGTGCTTATTATTTGTAGTAAAATTATTTAATAATACACATATGAAGTTTCATTTTACTATACTCGTACTTGCCTAGTAGCTCTCTTCTAAATTACTTTTTACATTGATAAAAACGATTCCAACTACATTAAAGGTCACTGTTATTATTTACCAAATTTACTTATTTTGGTTTGTTTCATAATGTTTCGAAAAATAACGGTGTACTTAATACCCTTTATGCTGTCTCCTATCTGCTTGGCTAATGAAATTCACGGCTCGTTTTCTCTGAAGTCGAAGAACTAGAATATTGTATTGAATAATAAAAAGAATATTAACCTTGGGATTTGTATAACTTATTAACAAGTAGCATAGAAATAAATAATTTAACATTAATGTTTATCATGCTTCAGGCAGACTTATTTAGAAATTATAATCCGATGGCAGCTATAATTTCGTGTGCATGTGCAGTTAATTCCCTAATAACAAACTATAAAAGTGATTTTTTTGAAATTAATTATGAATGATTATTTTGTATTATGTTTGTGCAAGACCAAGTCTTAGATCTAACGGGAAAATTTAAAAAAAGTTCTTTGTAAAACAAGGTACTATGTTGTTTATTAAATTTTTAAATAAGTTTGTCGAATTGCATGTGGATGTATGATAATCACTCATGTATATTAAATTAAAAAAAAAAGTATTGGCAAGTTTTTGATATGAAATATTTGTACGAAAATGGTGAGGTTCGCAAAGGCTGGTTGATTGTCTATTTTTATAATCGGGGTATCATGTTAGGTGGCTAAAGAGCATAATCTATGAACACTTAGATAAATTATATACTTATAACGTACACTCAGCAGTAAGATTAATACAAAAGGCAAAATTTGTGCAATCAATTTTAAAACTTAACTTCAAGTTATTAAGGCTTAAAGTCGATCGGTATTTTGTAGTGTCACGATGTACTGTATTTGTGTACTACATATGTTCTAAATTGTCATAATGAGATTATTAATATTGGGTATGGTTCGTGTTGTGTGGAAGGTCGGCCATATTTAACTCCTAGAAGTGCCTAGTTAACGTGGACGCTTCTATACGTAGGTATGAGTAGTTATCAGTGATTTTATATCGATACACATAATCGTACTTAGAGAACTGTGTCTTACAAGTGTTTTTTTATTTTTTGTTATATTTGGCGTGAAATAGATTAAATTGAGTGAGTTTATTTCATTTATGGTATATAGCTATTCTTTAACTTTTGTACTAGTCAAAATATCTGTTTATTACATTTTGTTTCTTTCTGTGATATGACTTTTATATAGAACAAAAAGTTTTCATTTATGTATTAGCCACGTAACAACCTCAGGTAGACATTAAATATGGGTATCCATCAAATAATAATATTAATTTTTATACCTGACTGTTGCAGGACGATAATGTATTTTTTTTTCTTTGTCTCGTTGAATTTTGATAGGTATAATTTATAATTGTATGAAGCAATCAAAATGTCGTTGTGACGATCTTTATAGATTTCATATCAGCGCCTCTACCGCGTAATTGAAGAACTGATTGATCTGTCAGCAGACACAAGCTATTACTGTTATAAAACCAGTCTCGAACACATAATCATAAGCATACAGGTTCAAAAAATAAAACTTACTTGTAAAGGGAGTAATGGTTTTATATCATTGAAACTATGCTGTCTCAACGCTGCACTCGACGTCGAGATCGGGCAATATTTTAGTAGCATATTAAAGAGTTTTGACAAATCAATCAGTGTTTTAGTTTTTTGGTAGAGTAGCAGGTCGGCTCATTATAACATTAAAAATAATAGCGTTATTAGTACCTATAGTATGCAGCATTAATTACGAAGGCTTAGTGGATTAATAAATAAAACAGATTCTCAAACGATAGTTTTGTTATGCTTCGCTATAGGATAAAATTGATATTTAACTAGGACATTTTAGTTATTATGTTATTTTACGGTCGGTAGTTTCCTGCAGAAAACAGCCAAGATGAACAGTATTGTAACTCCAATTAAATAAAGAAAATTCACTGAATAAAGAAATGGTAACTTATGAGATGTTTGTTTGGCTCACATACTGAAGTTAGTCCTTACGTGTTTTTTACATAATTAAGAACAATCTGCGTTTTGGCTGTTAAGGAAAGCTCCATATTGAGTGTATGAAAAAGTTTAAATATAAAATCGAAAATCTATAGAAAAGACAGACAGTGTCCTTTGCTTTTTTTAATGTACGTATTTCCGTCTCATTGTATAGACGGTCGATATTTAGGTACCTATTCTTAATAAACAAAATATTTATATCGTGTATACTGTTACCGCACACTCGCCTCTGTAAATAGTGTTTCTTTACAAAGGTAACGTAGTGTCTTTGCCTAAAACATAATTAGTAGCATATTACACAAGAAATAAATTCTAAGCTTTTAAGCATCATATTGTACAGAGAATTCAAATAAATTATTATGAACCGAACTGTTCTGATCAATAACGTCTTTTATTGCTTCCGATTTTAACGACTTTATTGTTTATGCTGTTTGTTAGTCGATTTATCGCGGAGACTCCTAGGAGAGTTAGCTACTTATTCGCGGTCCGCATGCAAATACATGTGTAAACGAAAATAAATTCATATTATTTTATTTCTTGTAGTGTTTAATATACTTTTACCGATAATTACACTTTTATAATTAGTATATTTATAATATCACTTAAATTAATTATGAAAAAAACAAAAATTATGCTCGTTGTCACGTGACCGCAAACAACGCGTAACGTCACGGCCCTTCTTGCTCATATTAGAACTTAGAGAATCCAACCTTATGCATACATAGCACGATATTAGTTTTAGAGGGCCGTGACCTCTCGCGACGCCATGGCAGAAGTGGCGTTTTCGCGGGAAATTTTGAAATTTTAATTTTAACTTATGAATAATATTTTAGATATATTTCATGTATATGTATAAAATATAAATATTAAAAAATTCTACGGGGTCATTCATTGCTCCGACCAATGAAAAGTAATCACCCGCAGCACAAAGGCGGACCACAACGACCAATGTAAATGAGCCATAACCACAATGAAAGTTCACGCACAGGTTTTTTCCTACCATGATATATCCTATTGTTTGAGTTACAAAGATAAGCACCAGTAGCATGCACTAAATACATACAATGAGCACTTAACATTCTACCTATCAAACCCAAATAAATCAATGTATGTTCACTTAATTAACACTAACACGATACGAGTATTCAGTGACACGTGATCAAGTTATCATGATTTGGTAAAACTAGAAAAGTGCCATCTATCAAAAGTACGCAAACTACTATAAAGTTCTAGTTGGCGGAATATTTTCAACCGACCGCTATGCTAACTCCGCCGCTACCGATGAGGCCGTAAATTGCATTTCTTACAGCTAGTTCGCCATACTAACATGACTGGTCAAAAACTCGTGTTGTGCGCAGAAAATATTTGTATGTGTGTGTAAAATTCATTATTGTGCGGTTTTGAGATGCACTGCTTACGCAAAGATAAATTAAGAAATCATCAAAAGAGTAGTGTCTGCGTAAAGCGATTTGGCCGGCGTATCGTTTAAATTAAACGTTTTGTTTGAGTTGTAATTCAATAATCAATCTAATTGCGTAGTAATTTATATACCGTGAATTATGGGAATATTATAGATGTGAGCTGCTCTGTTCTATGCTGGTATAAATTAAATACGAATTTAAAATAGTTGCAAAGGGAAGGTTTGGGCCCGGGTTAGATTTGATATTTGCAGGAAACGAATGGACCAAAGACAGTAATTTCTATTCCTTTTAACTAACATATTAAAAAACTGAAATTTGAAAAGTTCGAAACTTCGATATTAATACAATTACGGAAAAGTACAACTTTTAACCTGAAAGGAACCGGGAAGGTTGTCATGGAGAAATCAAGAACGTACCGTAGCGACATCTAGTTTGATTTCGGGAACTAATGTTTTTTTTTAATACTTCCTCATTGGCCATTCAAAATTTACATACAAATAATTTAACAACGATATTTCCTGAAGTTTACAAATTAGCAAAACGAGAGCATAACTAATAGTTACGATACCAGTGAGTAACGTGTCAACCAAACGATAATTTTTTGAATATAAATAACTTTTAAAACAACCCTGTCATTTTTACGACGATATTTCACTGAATTAACTATTTAAAAAAAAAGATGCACGTTGATCTACATTAAAATACTAAGGGAATGTTCAGATTTATATCAAACGTTTTGTCAGCTGATGACTGTTTATGTAAACAATGTCTAAATTAATAGGTATTAACAGTTCACTAGTTATTATTATATCGATTAAACGAAATAATTTTCGGTAACTTATTTCGATGTTCATGTTGACCAACAAATATCAAATGATCATCATCGTTTTTCGGATTTAACTATAAACTTGGTAAACTTAGTCTTTGTGTAAAGGTAGACTTGGTCTTTATGGCGGTGCTAGGCTGACGTCAGTATGCAGCTCAACAGCTAAAACTCTACTTAAAATAATGAATTCTTTACATGACATAACAGAAACACAAACAGAGCAAACACCCTTCTCATGCTTGCTTTGTGGTTCATGTTAGTTATTTACCAAGTAAGTGGAGCCGCCTTTGGGCTGTCATTTGAGATAAACACAAGAAAGATAGCTTTAAGTGAAGGCTTTACTGTCCAATCCGCATTGGGCCAGCGTGGAGGGTCATGGCCCATCCTTCTTAACCGTCCATAAGGAAGGCCTGAGCCCCTGCAGTGGGGACGTAAAAGGGCTGGTGATGATGTGATGATTACTGTATGGACTCGATCCCTTTACCTTTATATAACAAGGTAAAGTGTTAATAAAGTGTCGAAGTGACACTTGAAGTCAAATCAATTTGACAATTTCGTCAATCAATGTCATGTCATTGTGGCGAATTTGGTGATGGAGGGAACTTGTGTGTGTTAAAAGATTTCAGTTCTTTTCCAAAAAGAAGAATTACATGGTGTTTGAAAATATTAGCCGTAAAAATATGTGTTAAATGAAATCGCAAATTATTTAATAACGAGTTTTTTGTATTAGTGTAGGTACTTGAAAACCGGTATTGTAATGCAATTATCTATTAGTCGGTCGCTCGCAGAATGATTTTTTTTTATTTGTGTCTCCAGTGAAATTGTTGATGTTATGATCGATAGTTGATTTGAAAGTGACAACATGGGCCAAAGTCCGAGCTCCGTACGGAGTAAGGGTTGCCGACAGAAATCATTTCGGGGCTTTTCGAGGAAAAGTAAATTGAACAAGTCCAATTTGAGTCATACCTTCAGTTGGCCTCCATCAGAGGAATATCTAGAGCTGATGAACGTGAATACGGCCACGGAGGAGCAGCTGATGACGCTGCCGGGCGTTTCTCGGCAGTTAGCCCAGGAGATTGTACGACATCGCCAGATGATTGGCAGGTTCAAAAGAGTGGATGATCTTGCTTTAGTATCAGGTTAGTAATTTCCTACAAAGGCTTTGTTTGGTAAGCTATCCTAATGCTTATTGATTACTACTATATTTTTTATTGTAATAAGTTGTATTGTAAAATATTTCAGCATAAAATGTTATACAAGTTATATTATTAATAAAATTTAATAGCTCACTTTTGAGCAGTTTGACCTTGACATTGTAACAACTCAATATTGGTGTAAGCAGTGTAAATAGTTATTTGATTTGTTAAACTATGTAAGGTTGAGGTTCTGTGATTACATTTTTCCTTGAACCTGTGGAGTTAACATTTAATAAGATTTATTTACCAATAAAATAGGTGAACCAATAAATTATATGCATCTTACTTAATATAAAAATTAATATCAACATCAATTATTACATTAATTAAAACAAAGTTCATAAAACAATTTATAATTCTAGGTATTTATATTCCATGATTTCAATTATGTAAATTATTTAATGCATACTTTCGAAATCAAGTCTTCATTTGTACTTAAATATCTAAGTTTAATGCAATCATCAGCAGCCTATTAATTTTCCCATTGTTGGAGTACAGGCCTTCTCTATGAGTGGAATCAAATTGGGAGAATTGGGTATTACTCACCATTTATTGGGTGTGAACAACAAAAAATCCTGCTGAGACCAATGGCTTATTGTGCCTTTAGCAACATGAGGAAGCTTGAGATAATAATTTTTGGTCATCCACCCTGTAGTCCGCTCTTGCGAATATTGCTTAATTTCTATATCATGGACTGAATGCAACAGCTACTCACTATCAAGATCCACTATCAAAAGTCTATTAGGGGGTATTAAAGAATTTGTATAATATGAGGATTGCTGTTGACTATATCAACGTCAGAATAACTTTCAGAATTGTAAAATAAAAAATTTGACTTGATTAAAGTTGAGTTTCCTGATATTCTTTTAAATTCATGTTGCTTTTCTACACTGATTGTCCATGATCCATGATGCCTATAAGATAATTAATGGCCTGTCAAACAAGTTTATGAATTATATATTTTATTTTAGGTATAGGAGCAGAAAAACTAGAACTGTTGAGGCCAGAAATATGCACAAATACTAGAAAGCAGTTATCCAGAGCTAGCTCCTGCACACAGTCTTTGGATAGCATCAGAATCAATTCCGAGAGTAGACTTTGCTCTGTGAATTCTTCTAGTGTTTTCCAATTGCAATGTGTACCTGGTCTTAATCAGGAGATAGCTGCTAATATAGTTGATTATCGCAATAAGAAAGGTCCCTTTAAGTCATTGGATGACTTGATAAAAGTCCGGGGAATGGATATTGTAAGACTTAGCACAATAAAACAACATTTGAGTTTGGAACCAAGAAAATGTGAGAGTGTACAACATTTGAATGGGTATAACAGTGGATGGGCGCATTCATCAATGAATGGAACATTATCAAATGGTGTTACAAACACACCTAAGACTCCACACAGAAAGAGTTTGTCTATGCCCTCAAAATTATTGGTGACCTTACCTAATGGATTCGCTGCAGCCCCAGTCAATGATATCCTAGATTTACTGTCGGCTTATTCCCATAGACCAATCGTTGAAGATGTGTTTGCATATGAGAGGAATGGGATGAGATGTTGTCGTATAGCATCATGGAACCTACACCAACTTAGCATAGACAAAATAACGAATCCTGGAGTTAGAGAAGTCGTTTGCAGGACAATTTTGGAAAATAAGTAAGTAGTATTAAAATTTTCTCCAAATGACAGAAATAATTACTTAAATAAATATTAAACAACACTACATTTACGCAAAGAGATAAATGGGTTACCAACAAGAAATCTGATTCTAAGTAGGTATCAATTAATAACTTTGAATTAATCAAAACAGATTTTTATCAATATGATGTTTGATTTGTTTAATAGGCTTAATAATTCTTTGTTTATTCATTTAATTCAACTGAATAATATTATTTTGTACATTTATGCAATGACAATTATAATCCTTTACTTTATCAGTAAAATTCTTAGATAATTCTCCCAAAATGTAATAATTGGTAGGATAATACAGAATGCTTATTTTAGATTATCGATAATAGCCGTTCAAGATGTACTAGAAGGGGCAGCCCTAAAGATGATCTGTGAAGAATTGAATTCGCCAGTATTGCGCAGGATTCGCGAGTGGCGGAGCAATAGCTGTCAATGGGAATACTGTATATCTGAACGTATAAACAAGTAAGTAATTATAATAGGTCAAATTATAATATAACTCTTTTTCAATATAGCAAAATTGGTAAAACTGGTTTTTGTGAACTAAGTTCGAAAATTTGAGTAATCTTAAAAACTGAGGTACATTTCAAGTGCATTTTCCTTGAATAGAATTAAAATCTAGAAGAATTTCGCCACATTAAGGAAAAATGCTATTAATTAAAGCTTTAGTCACGTTCATTTTGGAACTGTAAATAGATATTATACAATGATGATTTTGGCGCCCTAACAGTGGCGCCTGGGGCTAGTGGCCTCACCTGCTCCCCCTTTATATCCGGGCCGATGGGAGCCACTCTTACGTGTCTATTACCTAAGTTTTAGGAACCTTATACTTGTTTCAACTATGGATATCAGCTTTGGGTGAAGTATGGACCTGAACTAAGGTCCCACGATCAAAATCGTAGATCCGGGCATGCTAAAATCCTATTGACTATACATCCATTGGTTTGAAATTGTCTATACTTTGAGTTAATAAGTATTGAATGAAGGTCACTCAATCGAGACTCGTATTGACATCAACTAGTGCGGATGATTGATCATAACACTAATGTACAATTTGACATCGGTCGTCGTTTCACAAAAGCAAATACTCAGTTTGTTTATCGCCACTTATAGCTTAACAAATTGGTGCAGTAATAGTTGATAATTATCTACCAAACGTTAACTAATAATCAGGATTGTAACTATGTACTTAAATGTTTACTTTTGTACGTAAACAACTTGACCTTGAACTTCCGTTGACTTTTGCGGTTAGCAAATAACAAGATAATAAATAGCGGATGAGGCTGAAACTGAAAAGGTATTAGGGGTGTACCGTTGTAACCAATTATGCAATAACATCTGCAATTTATGTATGTATTATGTAACCTTGTGTTTATTTATGTATATTAAATATCGGGAAATCGATAAAAACAAGATACATAGTAGCAATCATGTAAAAAAACCTAATAGAAATACACGTACAGAGATTTATCGAACCGAGCTAGTTTAAGCAATGTCTTGATTAATATTAGTCGAGAGCTCAGTTTGTGTCAAAGAGTATTCCTAGATGAAATTACAAATCGCCGCCTAAGCTTCTACACATCACCCTCATTATTTTCTGGGTCTTTTTACGGCCTCCCTTTGAGCCTGCAGCGCCCACAAGGCAAATTCCTTCTTTTTTAATGCGTATTCGACTCCAAAGAAACGAATTTTTCGATAATTTATGATGCAACAGAGGTGGGACACCTGACTTTGGTGCACTATCAGCGCCTTCACGAATATGATTTTAAAACAAATTATAAAAACTATTCTTAATTGTCCGAATTATCAATACCTATAACAAACATCAAACACCGTACAGTGGTTTTCCTCACGAACTCTCATTTACAATATTACTAGCTTTCCGCCAGCGGCTTCGACCGCTTGGATTCTAGGGCACTGTTTATTTGGATTCAATTCATATCAGGACACGGATATATGTAATTACAATGACTCATTGAACATTAAGCAATGGTTAGTATGGCAACGTTTTAATTCCCCATACAAAACTTCCACACCCATTTTCATCCCTTTATTTACTATAGGTGGAAGATTTTTTAAAATCGGTCCAGCAGTTTCTGAGCCTATTCCTTACAAACAAACAACCAAATCTTTCCTTTTTATAATATTATTGTAGATTAGTAGGACTTTTTGTAGCTAATGAAATTTGAATAGGGAATATGCGTCTGATACAAAAAAGGTTAAATATGTTTTATTACAATCGTTATTGCTTTAGAATAAAGTATATCTAAATATTTTTCAACATTAGTTCGTTTTCGTCTTGAAAATAATTATTAAAAAATGCAAAATAAATGCGGTAACTTCAAAATATTTAAACGCCACGCTACTTGTCAGAGCGGATGTGACGGAAATGTACACGTATAGGGATGTCGTTGTTATAAAAAGTTAACATCGATGCAATAACATCAATGTATTATGTCGCAAAATAAACAACTGATTACAATTGAAATGATCTTTTAGGCTTTTATTTTTATTTCACCAATTTGGTAAATTAAATGATTTATTAAAAAAGTCTATTATACTTTAAAAAATCGATTAATTGTTAATCGATTTGGGTAATTGAATAATAATCAATCACCCAAAATCCATATTATTTAAAATGGCATATCTCTAGTCGTGTACTTTGACGTCACGACGAGCGCGCCAAAAATTCCGGTGTTAAAACTGCTAGTATCTATTACTTATTTTCATCAATGATTAATGTTACAAAATTTTAGTTTTTCGTTGCCGGGTATTTTTTTACAGTTACATATCGATGTAAATTATCATATAAAAACATTTTCCAAAAATGTGCATATTCCTTATTAGATGATTTAATTTAAAATGTGCTTGTTCAATGTATCAAGCCTTTTTGTTGACAATTATTGTGATGTTATAATTAAAACCTTAGTACTTTGGTGCACATGAAGGCGGAAATAGCGATAATGTAGCGCCTACGGAATAATAAATACATGTCGACCGCTATTCATTTATTCATTAGTACGTGCTTGATAAAGTAGTTAAGTGACCGCGTACACCAATAATCATTGACTACACAAAAATAGGTTTCGTGCAAAGAGAGTGATTAAACATTGAGACAACTACGTCACATTTCTATAACAGCTAAGCACAGCACAGCTACAACGCGAATTTATAAAATTCGAAAATTTTGACAGAAAAATAAATAACTACGTTACCCTAAAATATCCCTTAAATAGATATTTTTTCTGTTTCATTTTGTGAGGTTTTTTTATAGAGAAAATTGTTAAATATGTAAATCTTTGTTGCCGAGGGCTCTATTGACCATTTTTAACAACAAACGTAATGATTCGCGAATTATTAATTAAAAAGAGTTTTTGTCCCCCAATTCGCCATCCTGTCTCATCTCATTGCCAGGATAAATAGTAACTGACTTGTTTTTATGTCGTGTCTGGTGTCGTCTCCTTAGTCGGATTGGTGGGTGTCAAAGATTGCAGATGATGCATTCAACCAACGGCTTAACGTGCCTTCAGAAACACGGAGTACCTCGACATATTTAATTTTTGGTCACCCATCCTATGACCGACACTTGCGATAGTTACTTAACAACCGTATCACAGACCGAACGCGTAAACACAGCGCCATCGAGCTCAAAGTCAAAACAATCTTTATTCAAATACTGCTTAAAAGTACTTTTGGATCTTCAAACATTTTTTTCTCTACAACTTATTCAGACCGGCACGCATAGCATGACAAACCCGAGAAACGCTATGTCTACACCCAAATGTGACTTTCTCGGGTCAAGAGTGAGACATCGTATGGGTGCACCCGAGAAATGTGACATTTGAGTGTAGACAAACCGTTCTCGAGTTCGTCATGCTACGCGTACTTATATTCCATAAAAAATATTTTTATTTCATATTAGATGACCCGGTGTACTTCGTATCACCTATCACCTTAAACCTTACCCGGATTACGAAACCAAAATCAGCTAAAGAAGAGAAAGAAACAAACGAACAGCAATAGATTTTGATATATATAGATTTGGTTTGAAATGAATATAGAGGTAAATGTCCAACATAACCAGTTACGTAACCATTGGACGTGTAATTTACGGAAATATTTAGAAATTGTTCTATTGTTAGCATCATTTTTTAGCAGCACAAGAAGAACACGAATTTTTCGTGACCCAAACTAAAGTTTTTATGTTTCACTGAGCGGTTCGGTGCAAATCTGACGGCAGATCCGAGCATATCAACGGAGGTACGCGCGGCGAACTGACGGATCATCCGTCCAATGTGCAAATGCCAATATCACATGATATACTTACTTACTTTAACAGTTCTTTCGGTACGCGACGTATGAGACGCGCTTTCGTTGGATATTCTCATATTAGGGTTGTCATCTGTCCGACTTTATAGGTCATACGTTGACAAAAATAAAATTTATTAAACTGGTTAGTGTCAGAGCAATAAGCAACAATAACTTTTAATAGTTTTATTGTTGGCATAAAATATAAAAAACAAAGCTGATGTTTGATTATTAAAGGAGGTAAAGTCCGTCTTTTGAGGCAAAATGTCCGTCCTAATGCAACGCAAAGTCATGCTTTTTTATTTTAGAAGATGGCTACCTTAGCTGCGACCATAAATCATAGATATTTTAATACTCATACCTACCAAGTCGGTATTAAGGGCGAAAGGCCTTGTTAGCTTTTATGTGTACTGCGTAAATACACGGTTGACATGTTGTCCGGCACTTGTAAATGGACTTTCCCTTTAACTTGTACCGCTGAATATGTAATATATGTATGGAACGGAGAGTGGGGACACGGGGGGAACTTTTGTCTTTAACATCAATACCTTTATGACGTAATATTATACTACTTTTAACACATGAACTGCTTTACAACTAAGAACAATTTTAGATCTTGTTCTTAACTGTGATTATTGTAATTTATAAGAAAGAGGTTTAAGCCTTTTTCATTTTTTTTTCTCACAATTAGTAGGCTGATTGCAGTAGTTGATAAATTACAACGAATTATGTGACACGATCTGCACTAATACTATAAACAGTTCAAGTTTCTCAACTTTTTTTGTTTTTGGGGGATAATCAACGGAAATACTGATTCATACGCGGGTGACATAGACTTTTAATGCGGCGTAGTCGAAGGAAATCAGTTATTTGACAATATCATTATTTAAATCTTCGAAATAGTGCCCGTATAAGGGTTTTGTTTTTTAAGGTACAGATTTGAGGAAAGGGCACCTGGAAGTTAGATGTAGAAAATGTTAAAGTCCCTTTGTAATGAACATAAAATTGAATACAATGTAATAATCGATTAAAACGGACATTGGAATGATAAAGCACAGCTGTTTGACTGCCTACCGGCATGTATTTATCATTTATCGCGATTAATTGATTCATTTTTGTGTCTAGGTCGTTGAGTTTATCACTACTACTGTTAGCTTAAATATTCAACTGACGATGTACTATTAAAGAGATATTTAGATACACATACAGCTAGATTTTCTATATGTATTGACATACTAGTTGTTTTCCAGCGACATTGCCGGAATATTTTGTGAAATCCAAGCAAATAGTTTTGGAGGCTATTTAATGCAAACAAAACACTTTTTACTCAAATAGGTATTTGTTCTTTATAAGATTAGTGTAGTGAACGAATATGTGTTATTTAACAAAGAAAGGATCATTTCTAGACTGTATCGAAGCCTATGTGAGCGAATAATCAAAAATTATCTTTGTAAGCACTAAAAATAATAGGTCCCAGGTATATAGGTAATATAGTTCTAAAAAAAATGCTGAAAAATGAGGAGCTCGATGGCGCAACGGTTAGCGCGCTCAGTCTGCGATACGGTTGTTAAGCAATTTTCGCTACGAGCCGGTCATAGGATGGGTGGCCAAAATTATTATCTCGGGCTCGTCCCTCCTTCGGAAGGCATGTCAAGCCGTTGGCGCCGGCTGAATCTGCAGTCGTTAATATCCACAACTCCGTACTGGGATGAGTTATTAGTCATGGCCCATTCTGCCTATTCGATTTCATCCATAAGGATTGAGCCCACGTAGTTGGGACATTAATAGGATAATGATAATGATGAAAGAAAATGTTTCAAAAATTCACCAGTCCCACGTGTCAGAAATGACATTCCAGTCTAACCCGTAACGTAATCCAAAATGGATCGTTTGGTGTGGATGCAGCTTATGAAATGCTATTATTGCTTTAATATTAGCATAATCGAGACCCAGCCCTAGTCAAATAAAAATGTCATAGTCTTTTTTCGCCCTCCGCCAATAAAGCCTTATAACCTTGACTTTACAAACATTAGTGACTGACACTATTCGCTGACCTACCTATCCCGGATTATCATGTAACTTAATCTATTTAAACACGTTGTGGAAAGTTGATCTGTCAACGGTTCGTTTTGTTTGTTAAGGATTAAGAACTTACAGATGTCACTAATTGTGTAATAGGTGGAGGCCTTAAAAAGGTCTGAACATTGAGCTTGAAGTTGATATGACAGCACACCAGTGCCAAATTATATTTGCAATAAATTTTCAAATTTATTGTACAAAACCTACGAAGGGTGAATTTCATTCTTTATCTATAAAAAACGCAAAAAGGGCAGGTTTTATGGGACCTCCTCCCCCCTTAAATATTTATTTTATTCTGTTTTTAGTATTTGATGTTAAAGCGGAACAGAAATACTTTATCTGTGAAAATTTAAAATGTCTGGTTATCACGGTTCATGTGATACAGTCTAATGTATGACAGACGGACGGACAGCGGAATCTCAGTAATATTGTTCTGTTTTTATCTGGGTGTGGAACCTTAAAATGTGCCAGACTACAAGGCGTCGATGGCATATTGACACTTCTAATTCGGTCATCCTACACAGTTTTGCAAAATATTTGTCGGTTATCCGCGAGTTACTTATAGCCCAGTGCCTAATTATCTAATTTTTAATCTAACGCAATTCCTTCCAGTTAGACGTTTGAAAGATATTCATGAAATTTACGCTACATACATCTATTTGACTTATGTTAGCAAAAACAACTGCAACGTTATTTTGAAAGTCATTGAATGAACGATATCGTCAATATAACATGATTAAAATTAGAATGAATAAACATTTTTTTTTTTTTTTTTTATTGAAATTGTCTAAACAAAGTTAAAAATGCTCGAAAGCTATTGAGAAATGCCAAACGAGAGTTGAATGCTAACTGCTATCTTTCGACGGATTTGAAATGAAATGAAAATGTTTTTATTCAAGTAAGCTTGTTACAAGCACTTTTGAATCATCCAAAAATATTTTTTCCCCTACCACTTGTTCAGGACGTCTTTTAGCTGACAAGAAGAACAAGCGAAAGAAACTTACCAGCTTTTTATCATAAGTAATGACATTTACATAAATCATGTCATTACCAAAATAATATGTATTATCAATTTATCACAATAGTAAATACAACTTTCAAAGTCTGTAGGACATAAATTGAACATATAATTAGAACAAAGCGAAGGCTATTAATTCCATGTATTGCGATCCTTAAAATAATCATCAACTTTATAATAGCCTTTACTCATAAGTATATTCTTTACATGAATTTGAAATTTATTTATGGGTAGGTCAATTACAGTTTGTGGAGCTTTATTGAACATAGCATAATACATTTACCCAGAAATAATCCTCTGGTTTTTTGAAGTCTGAAGCTTGGAATTACTACTACTACTAAGTTGTTTTTCATCAATCATCATTCGTTCCAAAAGAGACTTCCATAATTCCATGAATCGCTAACCTTTGAAAGGAATTGCGATAAGTATTAAAATTAGGCTTATCCCACCAGTCGTTTCTCATTAATGTCCCTTTGCCGTAGCCAACACCTCGGTTTCATCTACGACGCTGGCAACAAGAGCATCAGCGTAGAAGACGTGGACCTGGAACAGTTGCCGCTGGTGACCGAAGCCGTCGGTGTGAGAATACTCGTCCGCCAACTGGAGGCGTTACGAGATGAACGGAGAATAGCCGACGCGAGAGGTGAGACGATATTTATTTATATATTTTGCTTTTTTTTTATGGGATAGGGGGCAGACGAGCAGACGGATCACCTGATGGTAAGTGATTACCGTCGCCCATGGACACCTGCAACACCAGAGGGGCTACAAGCGCGCTGCCGGCCTTGGAGGGAAGGGTTGAGGGGTAAAGGGAAGGGAATAGGGAGGGATTGGGCCTCCGGTGCCCTCACTCACACGACGAAACACAACGCAAGCGTTGCTTCACGTCGGTTTTCTGTGAGGCCGTGGTATCACTCCGGTCGAGCCGGCCCATTCATGCCGAAGTGTGGCTCTCAGTGATGAACGTCGTTAATTATACTTTACCTCTTATTTTAAAACCTAATTGTCTAATTTCAAAATTTATCGCGATTCCTTTTAACGTTTAAAGTCACGATAACTTTCGGAACGAACTTAAAGTAATAATAATAACATTTCCAATTAACGTCAAATGAACCGTATCGTTCATTCAATATTTTTCAAAAAACCTGCGCGTACGCAATCGCTGTCACATGTCAAATGATTATAGCGTAAAGTTTGTGAATATCTTTCAAATGTTAAATTGAAAGGGGGCGTCCATAAATTACGTGAGATGTTTAAGAGGGGGAAGGGGTCGAGGCAAATCTCATCTAATCTTACGTTGGAGAGAGGGGGGGTCTCGGCAAATATCACGCAATTTTTTTCTGATTGAAACAAAACAAAATATACTATTTTGGTCCATTTAATCCAGATTGTACATGCTTAAGATTAAATCTTAAGCGTAATCGTATACGATTAAGATCATTCACTAATTCGTTCAAAAGAAAATAATTTCATTCATACTTCGACGCTTATACATCTACTGAATGTCAAACCACCATATTTGTAGGGTTCGAACGATACTTTCGATACCGAGTAGGTATCGATACTTTCAAAGGCGGTACTCGATACTACAACAAGGTAAATACTCGCAAGTACTCATCAATTTTGAAAAATCTCACGTGAGATCGGTGGATGGGGGAGGGGGTTGCATAAAATCTCACGACATCTCACCAGGAGGGGAGGGAGGGACAGAAAATTTAAAAAAACACCTCACGTAATTTATGGAAGGGATTACGACAGATATAAAAAAATTATTTAAAGAAAACCGTTTTCTGCCATTTGCAATTTGCTTACTAACAACCATTTTATTGTATAACGAATACAATAAAATGGTGCCTTTTAGTATAAGTAGTAAGTGTTAACTCGTGAGTAACCCTCGTGAGTAACATATATTTTGAAATAGTATCTATTTTCTTTCAGTGTATTTATGTACATTTCGAAGCCCCAATTAATTGATCTGATTTTGCTATGTAATAATACTTCGGTGTTCAGATGAAACGAATCGTTTACACCTGCGAATTCCACTAACCTCGTGTCTAGTAGTGATTGTTTAAAAGTGGTCAATGTAAACAAGCGATTTTGAGTAAAACGTACAGGGGCGGCCGTACCGATTGCGTGCTAGCATCGCGTGCATGATCGGCTAACGCTAATGGCGCAATTTAGGGTTGTCACTTGTGCAACATATTGTATTATTGCAGTTTTGTCCTCTTTTTTTTCGATCACAACCTAAATTTACATTAAGTCTCTTGCTCCTCCGCTAACGTTCCCATATTAATACGTAAACAAATACGCATTTCATACATTATTAATCTAAGAAAAAACGAGTGCAGTTATAATAAAATATTCTTTTGTATATTTTAAATATTTTTTTTAATATATTTTATATGTAATAGTCGTAAACTAGTTGTTAATTTACGACTCGCCTTGACGTCCCCTTGTAAGCATAGCAATGCCTGTACCAGGGGGCTCCGCTCTTCTATAACATGAGTTTCTGGTTTTTTACTACTTTTTGGAATGGTTTATAAGATTATAAATATATATAATAGAGATCTATTCAGAGAAGTAAAGCTGCACAGTAATGAAAGATTGCCCAATGAAGTGGTGATGATTGCCCGCACCTGGTTATTTGTAATCTACAAACACATGTGTTGACCAATGTGACCGATAAAACTTTGTTATTTACCTCAAGTTTGGGTAGTTTCGTCAAGTTGTTTTGGGTAGTTTTTCTTTTCTCTTGAAACAATATTTTCTACAAGCTAGCATAATTATTTAGATTAGATTAATAATATTGCAGGCTGGAGTTATACAGCAATTCGAATTCTTAACAGCTTGTCTAGAAGCATGTTAGTACAGAAGTGCGTATTTATTAGGATCCGGTTTTTATATATCGTCGGAATCCTTTACAAGGTGTTATCGTCCCTTTCCCGTTGGTTCCCGGTTCGTTTATAGACCGTGTCGATGTATAATATGTTATTTTTTCTATAGCTTTTTTTGTCGTCTAAAATATTATTACGTGGTTGGTACCTTTAAAATGGCTGCCAACCATACGCTGGCAGTCGGTAGGGACAATAACAGAGTTGTAAAAGAATGAAACACTTATACGGATTCGAATTTATGTTTTGGTAACTTAAATACTGCTTTTGTGACATCCGAGTCTATAAATAGTGGTTGTGTCAACCGAGTCTCGCTTGTGCCGTCTATATCTTGCTTTCGTTCGATAAGCCAATGTGTATTCATAATGTCAGTGACGTAGGTATACTATCTAATCAATGATAAAGATTTTACTTAAAATTCATATTTTTAATGAGTACCAGGTACAAAGTGGATTTTTTAAATCATTTTTCATTAAGAATATTTTCCAGTATAGCATTGTGAATGCAAATTGATGAAATATAATTAAATATAGTTTGTATGGGAAAAGAAAAGTTATGATTCTTTTTCTCCTTTTTCTCTATTTTTTTATTGAAGAATCTTCTTCGAACTACAATAAAAAAACGCTCATTTTAGGGTATTAAGTGTCGGACCCTATTTATGTTATCAGAAGGTTAAATAAGAAAACACGTTCACTCTGTAACTCCATATATTAGCGACTAGGTAAAAAGTCTTTGTTCTACAGACGCTAACAAATTATTTATAAACATCTTACAAACTAAACTGTACATGTACATGTAGGCATAGTCAAGTTTCCTGTAGACTTTCAATATTTTTCTTTTTTCTAACTCCAAATAAAATTATTTTGCCCCTGCTCATCTCAACTAGGGTGACGGCTAAAAATCAAAGCTTCATCTGCAAATCGGGGATTATCGTTATTACGCCATGTTTCGCGTTCTCTATACTACTCTTCTCCCTCCATCCATACAGAAACTTTTATTATAACAAGTATATAACGTAGCAAATTGTAACAAATGAATGCTTTTTTTTTAATGGGAAGGTTCGCCAACAGGCCCGAATCTAGGATTTTCTTTAACCGGGGCAGATACTTCGTAAGGCGCCCTTCCTCTAACCTCCCCCCACCCAACGCTGCGGGAAGCCGGATTTTATATTATCATATTTAGGGATTTTGTTGCATGTCCGTCCCATCGTGGGCTATAATAAGTATGTGTATGAATGGATTTGTAAAGGCCGTTCTTTTTATTCGAATTGTAAATAGCTATTATATAATGGTGATTTTGGCGCTTCCTTAACACTGGCCCGGGGCAAGTGCCCTCACTTACTCCCCTAGATCTGGACCTGAATTTGAGCAATGTAGAAGCATAAATTAAATTATGCTTCTACATTGCTCAAATTCTAATATGAGTAGCTTAAACACTCGTATTGTGAAGTACATTGGATAGGAAACTAAAGAACGAATGATTTTTAATTTATTACACAACTTAAAATCTTTTATATGTTAATTTTATGAATATAGCGTACAATGTGCAATCAGTGGTCAGGGTCATTCTAATAATACATTATGTACTGATAGAGAAACAATTGTTGTGCCGGCGGTAGCACTAATGTCTATCAGTGTGCGTGATACTGAATTAATCACGTGATCTTTGTACTTGAAATATGTACCTTAAATGCACTGGTTTAAAACATATTTACTGTAGTGCTATTCTGTTATGAAAACAATCTAGAACTCCATGAGAGTAACGCTATCATAACATAAAGTTCCAATAAAATTAAACCTACTTGAAAAGCCAACACACGCAATAGACCAGAGACAATATAGAAAAGCTCTATTTCTACATTGACCCAATCCCGAATCCAACCCGGGGATCACAGAGACCGCGACACATTGAAACTGGCGTGCAAGTCATTGGGGTTAATTTTATAGGAATGAAGTATAGATAAACGAACTCTTTCAAATTGCAGAATTGATTATGTAATTCGATGTTTTTGTATTTGCCTCATCTCAAAATAAAGCGTGTACCGTATGATTCAGTTCGAACTACAGTACATCTATGAATGTTCCTTTTTTAAATTTAGAATAAAATCTCATCATTTATTAATAGTGAGCAGAGAGCGATGCCAAATAATGGCAACAGTGAATCGACATTAAAGAACTTGTTTTATATAATTGGAAAGTGAAACGGGGACATTTCACTGTATTATATAATATTGACGTCATAATGCACTTTCGTAATTTATAATTATCATAATCATTACAAGTCTATTAATGTTCCCGCTGCTGGGACACAGGCCTTGCTTAGGACGGAATCGAATAGGGAGAATGGGCCATGACTAATGTGACCATACGTCCTGCTTTGGGCGGGATTGTTCCGCTGTCCCCAAGGAGAATAAAAATGTCCCACTTTAACAAACTCACCTTTTTAAACCTACTTAGTTACTTGTCTACATTGAAATTTCATTAAAATCCCTCGGAGAGCGTGTCAGTGACGGTAAGATACCACAACTATTAAGTCAAATTTTAAACCATAATTTGTATTTAGTTTTTAAATATGGCAATTTACATCTACATAGATATTTTTCTATTTATATATAAAATCCAGTAGGCGTCTCGTTTTGACACGAAATAAAGGTCACATTACCCATGTCCCACCACGCGGGCTTAGTGCATATCGGTGAGTGTTAATGACCTATATCTTTGTTTTATTTCCTCGCAAAAAGCATTGAAAAATG